TGGAGAAAAATCGATTCACCAGACATGATGCAAACTCATGCAAGCTCCTTGCGTTCCACTCGTGATGTTTGAAACCTCTTTTTCACTGATGACATGCTTTGGGTGAAATAGAGGGGTTGACTCGGGCACATTTACCTCCGATGAATTGGCCCTATCAACCAGTGGAGATTTTAGACTTTGTGATGTCTGCCTGCTTTCTGTGAAAAGCTTTGGACTTGAAGCTGGAGACAATGTACAGCAAACCATGCACCATTGACATCAGCCATACCGGGCATGTCAAAGTGGCAACGGCAATGACTTATGGCATCTTCAAACAGCTTGGAATGTAGAATTATTGTTGCACCAGCCAGCAAAAAAGAGATCAACACAATTATTCTGAAGTCTGACCGCAAAATTCCATATCATCACAAAATCTCAGCGGGATTCATTGCTTTTCTTTTTTTCTGGCATTTAGACTGTCCGTCCGTTCTTGCGAAAGAACGCTTTGGTTGTCGGACTTCGACACTCCTTTGGACTGAGCCTCAGCATGGGACACACAAGGGATGTGTCTGGTATGGGGACATCTCATGGAATGGATGCAGTTGGAGGGAGCAGGAACGGAATCCTTTCATTCAAAGAAACCACATCCTCATGTACCATGCTTTTTGCATTCGTTAGAATGCATGATGCTGAAACCATGCTTGCCTTGCTTGATCGGCAGTATTATGGCTCATGATCTATGACCTCAAAGGTACCCCAAAATTGGATGGTTGTCAAAGATGACGAAACATGACGCGTTTTGCAGGTCCATAATTTCCATCTGGCAATTTTGATCCCCCCGTTGCCGGTGGCCATGGCCGAGTGGGCCGAGTGCGCCGAGTGGCTCGTGAAGTTTCTCGGCCACTTTGGGCGAATGCTCGTGCAGCTCACGCAAGCCTGGCATCCAAATCACAACACCATGGATCCCAGCTATAAGTGGGTTGTAAATCCCACTAGCTAATATCACTGTATACATATATATATATAAATGATAGTTGTAAGTATCATAAACCATAGTGATTGGAGTTATGTTCAGCAACTCAGCCCTCATAAATCAGCTATAAATCCCATTGAATCCTCATTTTTGTTGGCTAAATCACCATTTTCCGGTTTGGGACGTGGTTTCACCCGTTGAGCTCCATGGGGCACCTCGTATGAGGACCTTGGACCCAGTTCGCCGCCATGCATCGAAGCAATCCTGGCGCCAGAATGTGACGATGTGCAGAAAAGTCACGTTAGGTCATGTACAGAGTATATATAAATATATATAATATACATATATCATATATTATATATCATATCATATACATATATGATGTATACATATACACACCATATTCATATCATCTCTCTCTCTCTCTCTTCCAAGAACCAATGGCCATCCTCATGACAAGGCTCCTAGCAAACGTGGAAAGACTTTTCAGGCCAGAAACTGGATCTTCAGCAATCTAACTTGGCTGCGCCTCCAGATTTTCTCTGGGGTTCCTCAAGAAGCGGCAAAAACCTTGGTCCGATGAAACTCGGTGGTTGTGACGCACAGATCGTCTTTGGAAGTCTAACGACATGTCTCGACTGCACCTGGAACATTTATTTCAAAAGAATTGAAGAGAACATGTCATCTTGACATGGTAGAGCGCAATGTTGGCTCACATCGCTTCAAAGAGTCTACAGCATCACTGGCGTTCCAGCGTACGCATACATCTGCATCCACATAGTGGGGTTTCAGCACCTTGTACACCTCCGAATGTGAGAGAGCGGGTGTGTCAACTGTGTCAACCCACTCCAAGATGACACCTTTTCTTGGCCAATCTCAGGTACCCTGTAAAAAAAATACTGTTTAGCTAGTTAGTGCATTTTTCCACTAAGAAAACCAAGAAATAATACCCTGAGTATAGGTTACCAAACGAAGCTTCAGCCACTTTTCCCAAAGCAGGAACTGGCCCTCAGGACAACACTGTGTCTGGCTCATCTAGAGGCAGACACATGGCATAGAGCATGGGCCTCGCTTTGCACAAAAACAGCAGAGCCCGGACATGGAATGAGCTTTGTTCGAAAAAAAAAGGAAAACCATGGCAAAGTTCTGGGAAACATGGAAAAACCTGATGGTTTGGAATTTCGTTTTGCATACTAACTTGAGGTGCGCTCTGTCTCACGCTTTTTGCTGTCGCCGGCAACCATCAAACCGGCTAGTGGTGTCTGTCTTCGTCCATGTTCCAGTTGCACAAAGAGAGATGATGTGGCAGATTTCAAGATGTGTCAACCAGTACATTAAAATATGGTTTATGGTAGATATGGCTATAATAGTTAGTCAATGGGGATTCTAATGGTTTACAAACCACAAACATCACTGGGGGGCCCCATCCTGTAGTTTGTGCATCTCAAATGAAAGCCTAGACAGGTGGCGCCTGATATGTTGGTCGAAAAGTAGATTGCATTCGCGGGACAAGAAACATGGTGCAGAAAAACGTTCCCAATTTGGAAGCCCAAATCGGAAAAGAAAAACAATGTACAATGGATGTCAACTTGTGGAGGCGGGATGGGGATGGAATCTACATGTTTATTCGTTTCTGTAAATGGTGTGGGTATGTTTGAAACCGTCACTTGTTCAAGCAACGCAGGCACCGACTAACGATGATGATGATGATGATGACGATGATGATGACGATGATGATGACGACGATGATGACGATGATGATGATGATGACGATGATAATGACGATGATGATGACGATGATGATGATTATGATGATGATGATAATGACGATGATGATGATGATTATGATGATGACGATGATGATGACGATGATGATGACGATGATAATGACGATGATGATGATGATGATAATGACAATGATGATGACGATGATGATGATGACGATGATGATGACGATGATGATGATGACGATGATGATGATGATGACGATGATGATGACGATGATGATGATGACGATGATAATGACAATGATGATGACGATGATGATGATGACGATGATGATGACGATGATGATGATGACGATGATGATGATGACGATGATAATGACAATGATGATGACGATGATGATGATGATGACGACGATGATGATGATGAAGATGCTGATGACAATGACGACGATGATTATTGTGAAGATGGAGGAAAGTAAAATTACGTGCCAATGAACAACATTTGAAAATGATGATCACTACCAAACAAGGATCCAATGTGCCCCTGGAGGTTCCGGACATGACCATGGTAAGCATCGCCTGCACCTGGCATTCCGTGAAATCCTGGGGTCAAGAACGGAAGTCCCAATTAATGGATGATAATCCCAATGTATTGGATAGTATAGACCTTTATAATAACTATCAACCAACCATCATTTGTCAAATATATCCACATACATTTGACAGTTAAAACCACCAAAAAACCATTATAAATTGATGGTTGAATGCACATCGATCATGGTTTAATCACATTTTCTCCCCCAATTACAGTAGTAAATCCTCATTTGATCCCCATCAATTCCAATAAAACCATCTTCTCCCCGTTGTTTTTTGCCCGTTAATCCCTATTATTAAACTGGGATAATCCAGTTCATCCCCATTCTTCACCATAAAATCCATATAATTCCCATAAACCATCATAAATACTATCATAAATACTATTATAAAACCACCACAAACCACCATGAAGCCCCCATAAAACCATCATTTTCCTTTTCCTGTGCATCTGAGCGAGTCGGCTCTTGCGGAAACGCCTAGACACCAGGGCATTATCTCACCTGGATCATTCCACTCTCGATAGTGGGAAAAGAATCCTGTCTACTCGCAGTTGGAAGTCGAAGAAGCTGTCGACCGTTACGTTTGGCCGGACCTTCAAGCTTGGATACCAACCATGTCTCAACCTGATCCAGTCTTTCACCTACCCAGGGCAGCCATGCACATGCAGCATGAAGTGTCAGGGCCTCAGATCGAGGTCGAGTGAATTTCACCTCAATGTCATAGCACCAAGCCTTCCACAGGGCTTTGAGAAGGCAGGTAAACCAACGGCAGCGGCACTTGAAAGAAATGTTTCGCAAATCAATGTTCGGTCGCTGAACCGGGTCAATCCAATCCCCAAAACGGAGAGGGCCACCTTCACCAGTGCTCAACATGTAGTCACAATACAGTTGGTAAAATGATACCCATGCGTGAGATCCTACATCTCCACCACGTAAGGATTGTTGAAACCATGCTCCAGTCTGTGCAACGATGCGATGGCCAAAACGTTTACAAACATCTGCAGGAACCCATGCCACCTCCGGAAGAGCCACAGTTCGGCCAATGGGGCTGGGGTTCGCCTTATGCTGCAATTGCTCAAGATCCTGTGGGTCCAGATCAGCAGAACGTTGTTGTTGAACTACTGCCCGACTAATAGTCAAAAGGACCTTTTGCACATGACCAGAAACGTAGGCCGCATAACGGGTGTCTGCTTCAAACGTCTGATGTGTGAGCCAAAACGAATGCGGTCGCAGCAAATTGGCTGCAGTAGCTGCATGGTCTGCAAGACCGTTACAAATAAAGCACCATCCCTCAAACGCGGAAACTGGGGCATGTCCATCCAAATGGCTGGCAACTTTTGTGATAATGATATCTTGGGCACCAATTTCCTCAATCAACAAAACCACTTCCGTCCACAAGTCAGCATGTCTACTATTTGGTTTGACTCTGACAACTCCTTGGAGGAGGCGTTGAACTCTGTTTACGACCCCTTGGCAGTCACACCAAATGCGAACCTTACAGGCAAGTTTTCGGGCAATGCGCAATGCTTCCAACACCCCTCGAAGCTCTGCCCGGTGTGCAGATTGAATCAACCCCCGCAGTGGACTTGCAGCCAGGACAACCGATTGCAGTTTATCCATTGCATAATTGGTGGGGTCAGCTTGAACAACCGACCAACTGGCAAGTCGCCAGGGCTTGGTGGGTGCATGACATGAGCCATCAGTGAAAAGGTCAATCCAACCATCATGTAATGGCATGGTATGTTCAAGGCTGGAGGGGCTTTCCGGGATGTCAAGAAGGGTCTGGTGGTACAGCAGCCAAGATGCCGGTCTAAGAGACCACCCAAACGAAGTCAAAAACTCCGGAAGCTCAGGGATAATCTTCCAGACCTCAGGTGGGACACTCTCCCGACAGGGAGCAAATGCTTCACACTGCCAAAATCTATGATACCTTGAGTCAGTGCACTGACAATAGGCACAACATCCATCAGGTTCATGGCACCAGTGCTGCTTAACCTCGGAGGTAAAGTGTGCACCATTCAGCAGTTTTCTGCAGTGTCCAGCATCTTCCGAGCTCAGCGAATGGAGCCAAGTGCGGGTGGCTGAGACATCAGCCTGCTGGAGGTCCCGAAGACCATGTCTATGACTGACTTCACGGGCGACAACTCCTTGCCAACTCAACACCGCCCTCTGTTCAATTTCCTGAAAAGAAGCAGCAAAGAGACAAAAGGGTCCAAGGCAATCCTCAAACAGTCCATCATCCCTAAGGTGCCAACCCAAACTTTGCAAGCGGGTCAACAAGGTTTGGGAGAAGGAATTGTGGGGCAAATGAGACCGCGCCAAGACAAGTTGAGTCAGGACTGGCTGTACAAATTCCACGGCAGCACAGTCCCTCACACAGCGGATCGATTGGATCACACACCAAAAGCCAGGATCACAGTGAGGCCTCTCAATCAAACCAAGATGTATCCACGGGCTGCACCCCGCCCCGTCGGCCTGCAACCCACGCATGGCCCCCGACCTGAGTCGTGAGATGATGTGTGCACCAAGGGAAGTGGATGCCACTCCATGCAAACCTTTTGGCCAAGCCGCAACCGTGAGTGCTCTGACTTTAAGTTTGTAGGGGCTGTTGGAAAGTCTAAGGCGATCCCACAGATCTGCCAGAGCATTTGCACGTTCCTGCAGGGAGGCATTTGTGTGCTGATGTGTCAGCTGTAGGTGTGCACCCAAATTCCTACCCCCATGGCCAACTCGGTGTCCAGCTAACCGCAAAGTCTTTCGCCCACTGGGTGTGAGGCACCAGGCATATGTTTTCTTCTTATCAAGGGTCAGGTCGACCAGCTGACAAAACCGTTCAAGGTGGCGGGAGGCTATCAAGACATGTTCAGGCTGTTTGAGGAGCAACTGCCAATCATCAACAAATGTCAATGTACGGCATGGCACTTCGGCTGCGTCCATCCACCAATGCAGAAGGCAGTCCAAAAGGATCATGGCAACTACCGAGAGTCCATCACCCTCAGGAAAGCCGGTGCAGCTGTACACCGCAGAAGAGAGGTTCTGGCGCACATCAAAGTGTCGAGCCAATTGGCCAAGCATCCCGGCCCAACCAGTCAAAAGCCTCAAGGGAAGGTTCATCATCATGGCAAGTTCAAAGATCACTGGGCGACTAAGACAATTGAAAGCCTTCTCAATGTCACAGACCATGCCAGAAACCTGAAAGCCACAATCATGTGCCTCTTCAACGGCAAGCAATATATTGGACCAAACCAACCCCGCATGACTGGCCAAACGAGATCCAAACAAGCCAGCCGGCAACCATTGGTCCAGGGCAGCAATCAACCTTCTGGAGTGTACCGAGCTCCACAGTCTGTAGCCCAAACTCAGCACGGTGATGGGGCGGAAATCCGCCGCACTGGCGGGGCAAGGCCCTTTGGCTATGGATGCAACCCTTCCAACCGTCATTTGATCAGGCCAACGCCCTCGCGTCTCAGCATGATTGTAAAAACAGCAATAACTCTGGAGGACCCCATCAGGCATGTGTTTCAAGTCAGAAAGGCTGACACCATCTAACCCCTTGGCTGTTTTGGCCCGCTTCTTGTGGATTTCACGCTTCAAAACTGTGCAGTCCAATGGCTGGTGAACACAAGTTACAGGAGGGGCATGCTTCCGGGCAAAATGCAAAATGTCACGCCATTGCGATTCAGGCACATGCTGATGTTTGTTCCACCTTTGAGACCACGTGGTTTGGAATTCCTGAAACAGTTCATCCAAATCACCCTTGCAAATCATCTGTGTGCAGGTGGCACCGATTTCACAATCCTCAACCGTGTCAACCCAGATCCATACATCTTCAGCATGAATGATAGAAACCGCCCTACCATTGATAAAAACCGGAGCCAGAAGATTCCAAGGCATGCACTGGGCCAATTGAAGACAGAATGACTCTACATCAATGTGGACAACCTGAGTTTGGGCCGGCCGAATGAGCAAGTCAACACTGTCATTTCCAGGCATTTTCAGGTCCTGGAAAATCAGTTGAGGGTTGGCAAGCCTGCGTTCTTTGGCATATGCACGGCTGGTGGCTTTTAACTTGTTCTCAAGGTGCCTAAAGGCGATCAGCATCGAGTCATAAATTTTTTGGGCACTCTCGCAGTCAGGCGGGTGTTCAGGTAGGCACTCTGGGGCCCCGTGGACACGGAATTTGGAGGTCCACCACCATGCAGCAAAACCTTGGTCAAAACCCTTGGCCCGTTTGATGGCCCCCCAGGTGGAGGCTGCATGCACAGGGTCAGAACTGGAGCTCCTTGTGCGGGCAAATCTGAGGTAGGATTGAAGCCTCCTCAACTGGCGATACCAGTGGGCATGCTGCAACGATACACCAAAGAAGGTTGGTGATACATCTCCCTGCCTCGGCGCTTTGATGGGTGCATGGGTTGGCCCAACCACTCGCTTCGGCTTGAGTGTTCGTGCTCGCCCCTTGGATGCCGCAGAAAACGGCTGAGGTGCCCTGGCAGACGCAATGGTTTCAATGTTCTGCCACATGTCTCGGTATTGATCAGTTTCCTGGCCATCTCTGATTTGCAGGATCGGTGCAACCTCAAACTGGGGCCAGTCAACAGCATGGGGCTGGCGCCAAACGTAGCGCGGCACGTCTTGGCCACTGCCATTGAAGTGCGCAATCAAGACGGAGTGGTCTGGCCAGACGTCGTTTCGGATCGAGACCTGGGACATCAAAATTTGAAGTTCAGGACTTACATAGCAAAAGTCAACCCTTGTGGAACACTTACAGGTATTCTGAATCGGCAATCCCCACCGTTCTGCAGCAAGTGTTTGGATGTCTTTGAAGCCTGCTGCATGCAAAATGTTGAACGCAACAACATCATCTTCACCCACATTAAAGTCCCCGGCCACTACCCGTAAGCCAGTAGAATGCAAGCAAACTTGGGTAGCAACTGCATGTAACACCTGGTTGGTGTTGTGCAAATGGTTCGGATGCCAGGTTCCCGCCGATTCACCATAAACTGTACCACAAGTCACCCACATATTGCCAAGGTATGTGGCAGTTACCAAGGCTCTGCTCGAATGGATGATATCAGCATCCCAGCCCACAGGCACCGCACGTGTCGGGTGTTTTGACAAAACCGCAACTCCCTTCCAGGCACCAGAGGTCACAGAGTGGGCTCGTACGGGAACCGGAAATCCAGCAGTGAGATAGCGAAAAGGCGACTTGGACGTCACCAGCCCTCTACGGAACGAAGACAAAGACTTGGTGGTCAAGTGGGTCTCAGAAATGGACCAAATGTCAACATCACTAAGGTATTCATTGATGACCTGAGCTTTGCCTGCCAATCCAGATGGATTGAAACACCCAATGCAGAAGGCATGTTGGCGTCGAGAAACATTGTGATTGGGGCCAGGATGTTGGGCTTCCCCTACACGTACCCCCGTCATGAGGAAGAGGAACAAAATCGGCCACTTTGAAAAACGTGTACGACACTTGATCTGCAAGTGCGGCAAAAGAAAAATGCCAATGAGGCAAATGGGCAAAATGCCTACATATCCAGCATACATTGTTGATGAGGGGCCAGGCAGCCAGCATAACATGAGAAACATCAGAACAATGCACAGGAGGCTCAACACACCTGGCATCATACTGGCCACCCCCCCAAACCGTCACTCGAGGTCTTCTCGTGGCCTCTTCAGTAAGCTTCTGATCTGGCTCATCTGTGCTTCGAACAAAGCTTGCAAATTTTGCTGCTGAGATTCGATGTGCCCTTGCAACTCTTGGTTCTGAGTGTGCAATTGGGTCTGGACAGCGGTGATCTGGGCCGATTGGCGGGATGCAGTTTCCATCACATTGGCCTCCAAGGAAACCTGCTTTTGCATCAGTGTGTGCACCTGCATCTCCAATGTTTGGATACGATCACCAGTGTCATCAGTCTCCATGTTGGTTGACTGCTGCGGCAAACTCGCAAGCACATCCTCTTTGATCTGCGTTTTGATTTGCTGCAGTCCAACAGAAGGGTCAGCCTTGGTGTTGGATGTGGGTGCATACCCCCCCCAAGGGTCTGAGGCCATCCAAGGATCAGTGCTACCTGCTGAGGGTGCTTGGGTGCCACACAAGGCCAAGGTGGCACTTGATGCAACCGGTCGCGCTGGGTGCGCTTTGGTTTCTCGAGGCCCTTTGTGCGTGGAGATTACTATATCACCGTGGCTCATGGACACCACCCTGGCTGGGGGTTCCTGCGTGGCCTGAATCAGCCACATCGACCCTTTGTTGTCAACCGATGCAAGTGGCTGCAAGGGACGTGCCTCCCAGTCCATCGCCTTCAGGGCCTTGAGGATGTTGTTGCGATCTGATCCAAACGGCCACGGACCTGCAAGGAATTGCTGCTTGGGTCCAAAGGGAAGATACACAGACCCCGGTCGGATGTGCTGGGACAGTGCAGGGGCTTCAGCAGCAGTGGTCCGTAGCCCCACTCGTTCACCCACACGGGCAACCCCAATGGCCGAAGGGTTCGTTTGGCAAACATGATTGAGGGCCTCACGACCCATCTTTGACATCCACACAATGGCATACGAATCATCAATGGTTCTGCCGTCCTGTGAACGGGGTTCAGCATAAATACCTGCCTTGCCACTCATCTTGAGCAGGGGCACTGTCAAACATTTGGGTGTTCGGACAAAAACCCCAAACATCACCGCACTCTGGGCAGACTCCGGTCGGTACCCCGCCTTCATGAACTGTCTTCGCCACACGTCATGGATGGCATCAGATGTGGCAATACCTTCAGGGTTGTGCCAGTGGGGGCATTTGCATGCAGGTTCAGAACACAACCGCAAGAGGGGCAGATGATGGACTATGTATTTCATGGGCCCTTGGATGAAGGTGTCCCAGGATCCCTCCAGTTCATCACGAAAAACCACAAACTTGATGGTGTTCACCTCAACCGTGTCAACATGGAGCGGCGCAGCACTGGGAGTCTTCTCAACATACCCTTGGCCAATCTGGACGATAACCACATCAACCAACATTGGTTCGTTGTTGATGGTACAATGGCAAGGGACCGTCACTTGCGAATGGGGCAAAGCAGTGGCCGTTTCATGCATGCTGGTCTGAGGGATAAGCAAAGCCAGCGGCACCTTGGACACTGGTTGGCCATGTTTGAGGTATGGCTCAGCCTCTTTTCTGGTGGCAAATGCAACACCTTCAGCAAGGGGTCCAACATCCTGCAACAGCAACTGAGGCATCGGGTGGCCCGCAGCATGGAACGTGCCTGGCTTCAGTGCAAATTTGGAAGGGTCAAGGGCGACCGGTTCAACCTCAGCTGTGGTCTTCTTGCTCTTCTTCCCTCCCTTGGGTTTTCCCACTGCACCTTGTCCAGCAGACTTGGCAACCTTGTCTTTGAGCTCAGAGGGCAGGAGGAACTGGAACTTGACCTGATTGCCAAGTGTTTTCAATTGCTTCCATGGAATCTTGGAAGCAAGGGCTTCCTCAACGGCTGCCGCCCCAATGGCACGTGTCGCAGCCTTGGCCCTGTTGGTGGCCTGTTCCACTGGCACTCCATGCTGGATAAGGAAGGGTGCCAGTGCTTCTTCAATCTGGGCGAGAGATCCATTGCCCCATAGCCAGGGCTTTGGGCATGGGGGTCCTTGCAATCCTTGGGCAGCAAACTTGGAGCGCAATTGGTTGTGGAATTCAATCACTTCCTGCTGTGTAGATGGCAGAACCCGGCTGAGCATCATATGGGCTAGGAATCCAATGGCCAGAGCACCACAACCCTCATGCATTTCGAACATTCTCACCAAGCGGACGTGCTGATGTTGAGACAAACCAAAATGACCATAAACATGGACAAACAGCGTGTCAAGACCAGTATGGTCAGCATTTTGGGCATCCCACGTGTGAGCATACAGTGTCCCATTGTTGGGCTGAAGGAAAATCGGGATCCAATGATTGTGGGCATAGGCTACTGTCGCAATACAACAAGCCTGAGGGCAGTATTGGTTCATCCATTGTCCAAAATTGTCAAACCCAACATTGAGCCATCCATAAACCAACAGGGGGTCAATGACAACGACATTCATGTGTTGGCGGCACAGGGCTTGCAAATTGGCTAAGTGCCATGCGATTTCATCATCGGCCCACAGGGGTCCCTGACGATCCAGGATGGCCTTGCGGTCAGCAACTGTGAGCACCTGCTGCTTCATCGAATTCACGACAGGTTGGGTGGTCGGAAACGAGCATTGGAGTTTCACAAGGCTGGCAGCATCAAGTTGAACCAACGGACTGCGAGGCACACATGAGCCAGATGAGGCACTGCTTCCACTGTGTTGGGACAGGTACCCTTCACTTCTGGGGTTTGGGGTACAGATGACAGCTTTCACCAAGGGAAATCCCTCCTCACCCCCATGTTCGGATGCTTCAAGTGCTTCTGGGAGCTGGCCCTCACAGGAGTTTGCATGCGATACCTGAGGCTGGGTTGCATGGCTCACACGATCATTGCGGTTCACAGGCACTAGGCCTGCTTCTGGTGGTGGACAATCTCCAACCAAGGCGGCACCAACTGGTCTCAAGCCAGGCGGCTCTGCATCACAATGCTCCATTCGGAGTGCATTGGCATCTTTGGCATCTGCAGGCATGGGGGCATTGAGATCCAAACCAGGCAATTTGAAGGGGAGTAGCCTGGATTCCCCAGTCATTTCATCATCACTTGGTTCGGCATGCTTTGGCCTAACCTCATCGACATCAGCAAAACCTTCTTTGGTGCCATCGGGCAATTTGAAGGGGAGTGGCCCGGATTCCCCGAGAGCAGGTGAGGCATGATGTGTACTGGCTTCTCCATGTTGGATCACAGGTCCTGAAAAACCGGGCAATTTGCAGGGGAGTGGCCCGGATTCCCCAATCACAGCAGTGGCCTCATCAGGGTGGCACAATGATCCTTCCTGTGCACTGGCAATGCACATGGCATGTGCAGCATCGTTGGCGGGCAATTTGTAGGGGAGTAGCCCGCATTCCCCAGTGGGTGGTTCAAAGATCATGGGGATGGGTCCCTGTCCACATTCACCTGGGAATCCATCAAGCGTGGCATAACGTCCAAAGGCACGTGATTCTGTGTGACCCTGATCAGGAATGACGCACAACTGTGCAAGATGTCCTGGCTCAATGATGTCATTCATTGCCCAGCGTGAGCCATCACTCTTGAAAACTGTGACTTGCGACCATTCAAATCCATACAAACGACCTTCAGCCTCCAACAAATCTTGAACCGTGGTGGATGTGGAAAGTCGGACAAATGCAACATCATGGTACGGAGGATACAGGACAGCCGCAAATCCTTCAGGGACCTCAACCACATGAAATCTCGGAGGCTCAGCATATGGTCCTACCGCTTCTGGATCAGGTTCCTCCGAATCAGGAGCCTCATCTGATGAGCCACTGGCCTCTTCATGCGCTGTGAGGGCATCTGCAGGAGGCATCCGATGCACTTCAGTCTGGCGTTCTTTGACCTGGGCAAGGACGGTTGCAAGGCATCGTTCAGTCATTAAGAAGTCCCAATCGTCCATGCTGAGCAATGAATCCAAAGTCTCATGTGCAAACTGTTCCCAGCGCAGTGCATCAAGTGTGAGTGGATTTCTGTGCATGGCATTTGGGGTTGGCCAAAGGAGTTGGCATCGTGCAAGCAGCCATGACCGATATGCATGCAAATGTTCCCAGGGTTCAAATAACTTGGTACCATCCTGAATCCAGCGGAAATGGTTGATCACATGAGACCCAATCCAGTTCGCATGTATGGGGGATGCAATCTGTCCAATGGCAGCAAGTGTCAGAGCCACATCTTCCCCGTAGTCAGCAACCGGGTCAATGCCAACCAGTGCACCACATTCACTCGGGTGGATGTGCCTCCATTGACACAGCCCATCTCGATCAAAGGCAGAACGCATGACAACACCAAAAAGGCCCCTGTTCAGGAGACGTTCAATGGACAAGGGACCAGACCTGCAACCACACGGGCAGGATCTCAATTGAGATCCCCATGCATGCAAAGGGCACGGAAGGAGGCCATTACGGTTCATTTGGTAAGGACAACCATCATCCAAATCCACCTGAAATGCTTCCAGTTCCTGCTGAGTTAACTGAAGGGCATGTTCATGATTGAATGGCCACCTGATTACATATGGCATGACATGTTTGATGCTACTGCAATCACTGAGTACTGGCATGGGTCGGAGTCTGATTGGTCCTAATGCCGGGGCTGACAACACACACCACCATCGGGTTCGAGAGCATGGCCAACAGTCCTGCAATCTCAGCACCTCTTCTGTGCAATGGAAGCCAGTCAGCCGGCAGAAACGATCCAGATGCATGCGCACGAATGTGTCCCTCTGGGCAGGACTAACACACTCTATGATCACCACCACAGCTCGCAAAAAATGGGCACATGCCAGGGTGGCTGGCAAGCTCAATGATCTCGGATCACTACCACTGCCCCTGTCGCCCAAGGCTGAGTAGGGCTGGCAAGACACCCCTGCTGCAACTGTCGATGATTTCGGGTGAAGCTCCCAAATTCTGGCTACTGTTGAATGTTGGGCCACGTCACCTACCACGGTCGAAGCATCAGACTGGGTGCTGTACAGGGAGTTCATCAGCGGGTTCTGATCACAGGCAACTACTGGCCGGAAGCCTACTGAAAGAAGGCCCTGACCAAGCCCACCCATCCCTGCGCAGACCTCCACAAGGTCACGGATGGAGTTCCAACTGCAGGCATCATGGTACAAAACATGGCTACTCTCATCGGCAATCAAAATGGGTCTTGGCATCGGTTGCTGAACCCTGACATTCAGAAGGCTATACGTCAACTTGTCCTGCGGGATCCCACCCTGAAAATGGAACAAGTTCTTGGAAATCACTGAACTCATCAAATGATTTGTACCCCCATCATCAAAAGTGACCAGAGATGCCACCAAACTCACTCGATCGCCTACCGAAAAAGATCCAAACAGTGGTGAATAGTCAACCATGGCTGCAAACGGAACCCTCGAGGCTTCGGTTTGGGCAGATGGGCCCGCTGGGAGGCACCTCGAGCCCCACCTCCATAAAACCATCATAATCCACTCTTCACCACCATTTCCAGCAGAGAAAGCAGCATAAAACTGGGACCCCCAGCCACGAAGGCTATGGGGGCCGCCTTCTTGTGCCTGGCTGTCGAGTTCGAACATGGGCTGCCAACCCTCAGGCTTTATCATGGCATATTGAAATGAAGAAAGCCTATATTTATATGGATATCAAAGTATATATATATATGAGGGATATTACTATGATATATGATGGGAAAACCAAATTTAAACCCAGTATTGTTATATTATACCCTATAAATGAGGATATAATGGGGATATAACTATGATATATATATATATTTGTCAAAATAGGGCATTCACATGGGATAATGGGAAAAATCATTGGGATATCATAGGGACAACCATTGGATTATTAGCTATTTTAATATGATGGATATAGTGGGAAACTTACTATCATTGCATATTTCATGGGGAAAATTTGTATAAATTCATGATATACGTAATCAATGGCGATATTTCGTGAGGAACAAATATGTATCAATGGGGATATGTAATGATCTAGGGGAGAATCCTCTACATATAGCGAGAGATAATGGGGATATAACTCATCAACCCTGTTAGATATTTGAATATGTTATGTATGGGTTTTGACCGTTAAGAACAGGGGATGATAATGGGGACCATCAACAAAAGGGGATATGATAATAGTGGGAAAATGGTCAATGTTTATATTAAGCCATCTACCACTTGAAATACCTTGGGAAAACATGGACATAGTCGGAAACTTGGTATCGCGGGATATTTTAGTGGAAATCATCCAGAAATGGAGATATATCATGGGATATAACTCACCAACGATATGATACTTGGATGTGCCTGAAAATGGGAGTTTCAACCACCAGTGATTTTAAGCAATTTTAGTGGGGAAAATGATGATTAACCAATGGATGGCATGGGGTACCCAACTTTCAGACAAACCCACAGAAAAAAAACAATATTTCCTCTGTAGATATCAGCTTTTGGGAGCCTGAGCCATGAATCTGAAACAAGCACCATGAATCAAGCGATGTGTATCTAATCCCTCCAAAAAAGATGTGAAACATTTGGCAGATACAAGAAGCTAGATTTCGCATTCCATGTAGTACATGTAGGAAACTCAAGTGTTGTTATATCCACCATGATACCTCAGATTGTGCCATTTGTACATCCAATTTGCGCCCAGCCACGTGAACACCAGGAGCAACCAAGCCAGCTTCAGCAACTGGGGCGACAAACCCATGGGGCATCACCCAGTCATCCAGTTATACGGGTAAACGGTTTGTTTGAAAATAGGATATCCCCATCACCCATAAATCCCATGGTTTATCATACAGCAACGCCATAAGAATGGATCAATTTGGGGGATACATCCCAGCATCCAAAGCCCGGCAAATTGATCCTAGTCGGACACATTAAAAAAACAACTGAGATCACGACCTGATGCCTGTTGTTCAGCAGAATTTCTACTGCTTCTTATTGGGTAGCCTTTTTGGTCCCTGAGTTTGTGACCACAGTGACCACTACAATCGTTGAGTTTCCGCGCCAACAGAAACAGGTGTTTGATGCTGAAGGGGCTGTCCAAGTCATGCAGCAAAGGGAAGCGCCTCGGCTTCGTCTCGGCAGCTGGTGATCCATGTTTGAATCATGTGGTTGGCAAAGTATTCATCAATAACAAAAACATCATCCAAAAACTGTTTTGAGATACAGTGCTGCGATAGATTTCAACTTACACGTGCACATGAGTTGTCTGCTTTCGAGAGTCCCTTCAAGCTTGGGTAGACTTTCTTTGGTCCATGAAAAGCTGAACACGTTATTTAGAAATACGAGTGATCGTGCAACAGCAATTCTCTGAGACAATCCTATCAAGTTGGTTTATATATCTTATTATATCTCCATGACATGAGGACAGCATCAGCTCTTCTTGGGTGCTTTTGATCGATGGGAACATCTTCAGTCTACGGGAAGATGTGTGGCCCAACTTGGCACCGCACAAGACGGCATCTGACCATCCGTAGAGGTTCGAAAACACCTGCACCATGGATTTGAACTCGATTTCGGGAAACTAAGGGTGGGCCTACTCAAACAATGGTGATCTTGGGATACAGAGGATACTGGCAGCATGATGTGGGTGTATAGGTATATTTACATATTATAGCTATCATGTTTCAATCGTCTATGTGAGGCCCAGTACTGATTTATTGCTATTCCCTCTGTGCACTTTGCCGTAACTATTGGGGTACCCCCATGACTATGGAAACCCCCAAGTAAGATCATCCCATGAGAAGACATGCGCTGTGAAACAGAAGGCAAAGTCAGAGTAAAAACACTGACCGTACAATGTCGAAAGTACACCATCAACCATCCCTGCAATGCCACAAAACCATTCAAGACCATCCCAAACCTCTAATCCAATGAGGTACCAACATATTGAGGTTGAGATTGCCATGCTGATCCACGCAATCCTTTCAGTTTCGTACGAGCTGAATGGTCTCATGCCAAAGCCTTCCTGTATTTTCAGCTGGGGCGCAAGAAAGATCAGGAACTTCTTCGATGCTTGGTTCCTACCAGCCCCAAACGGAGACAGAATCGAAGTTTCTGGTGGATGAACCATGGTATCCAAGCATAATATGCTGAGCCCTGGGTCCAAAAATATAAACCCAACGTTTCCTCTGCGGTTACAGTACATGATATCAAACTGCACTTGCAAACGACAAAAAAACCTTCTGGGGCGGTCTGATTCCAATCTATTTGAGAGTTGCGCTGTCTGGGACATTCATTTTTATGGGTCAGAACACGCCCAGAAAGCATCCCAGCTGTGTTCTGAGATGTGCTGAAAGTCAACCTGTCACCATCCTGCCCCCACCTCTGCCACAGCAAGATGTCAACACCTCTGTGAGATGATCACTGTGTTGGGGAAAGCCTCCACCAATGGTGGAGAAATCCGCCCGCACCGAAGGTGCTGGGGCGTGATCTTCCGGATGGCACTCGTAAAAAGGTTACAGGTTTACCTGGGGGGGGGATGGCACTCGTAAAAAGGTTACAGGTTTACCTCGCCATTTTTCGGCCAAAACCTCCTGTTTTTGATAGGTCGTGACGCTCGCCTTCAAAAAACACTGTAAAAAACAGTACGGAAGACACCTGTTCGTGAACGCGCCCGTCCAAAATCGGCAAGCGAAAAGTGAAAAAAACCCGTGTTTTTCAACTTTTTGACCTCAATTTTTTGGTTTGCAACATCTTTTTTTGCGGTTCCGCAGGTGGCCGGGCCCGGAGGCGGATTTTTGAGTTTTTGGACCCGTTTTCGGACTGATTTTCGTCGTTTTGTGATAGCAGAAACACTGGTTTTTACAGTGTTTTTCTGTTTTCTGCATGCTTGACGGCTAGCTTCAAAACTTCCAAAAACCTCGTAAATTACGCTGTTTTATGTTACGGTGTGAATGAAAACATCGTAAATACCAGTGTTTTTTGACGTTGGTTAAAAAAACACTGTAAATTACAGTGTTTTTGGCCACCTGACCCTCAAAAACCATGGTATTTGCAGTGGTTTCTGCTTCTCACCGCGCAAAAACACTGTAAATAACAGCAATTTCGCCGTTTTTTCATGTTTTTCGTTATTTTTTGAACTGTGTTGGTCCGCTATACATGGCTATCAAATTCTTCGCGTTTTTTTTTCCCGACAATCAGTACTTTCGGATGATTTTGGTCTCAATGGCCGACATCATTGGCAGTTACGAGCGGCTGCCCAACGATGCGGTGCGGGCGGTTGCCGTCGCGAAGCGACGTGAATATCTGGGAAAAACCGTTTGAAAAACCCGATCGAAGCTTATTTTCTACTATTTTCCCAGATCGATGCCCAAACTCTTCAAAACTGTGCAAACAAAAAATGCCCAAGATCAAGTTTCTGTACAACGGCACCGCAAAAGTCTAGGGCACCGAACAGGTTAGGATCACTGCGCTCACCCCAAAGCAAAGCCTCACCCGGTTGTACCAAACCTCGGCAGCATGTTTTTTTGAGGGTCATACATAGCTGACATCTTGCTGTTGCCAAATATGAAGAACTTAAAAACACCCAAACAAATCGATTTCTTGAACATCCTCTGCACAATATTTATCGTAAGATTTGAATATCCAAATATTTCATAAATTATATTTTGATGTTTTATACCATCCATGGTAAATTTGGAAATGGTTTACTATTGCCACCTGGTTGTCATTGAGACTTCTCCTGCTGAGTTACCACCGGGCACGTTGGAGGCGTTGCACGGCCATGCGAGATGTAGGAGCCCATGATAGAGAAACGGTGATCTTTTTGAGTGTTGACTTTCTGAATCTGATCTTTTATTGGGCCTTCTATACATTTGGAATCGGAATCCCAGGTCACCCAGGTCACATCTTTCCATTTGAAGCACCGGTTTCTGCAGATCGATTCAGCTTGATCCAATGGAGCCAGGGAGAGGCGAAGGGGATCAAGCTATCCATCAAAGTGTCGCAAGTGTCGCCGAAAGTGTCGCCAGGATCATTGATGGATAGCTTGTTTTATGGATTTTTCAATTGTTTTCAATTTTTTCAAAACCATCTTATGCGGTGTCAGGGAGTTTGTCGGTTAAAATATATACAACTACACAATGTGCGCGCGTCGCTGGAAACTGGCTCATCAGTTGTTCAGGGGACATGTGATGTACATATGGCCAAGGCAAGGTTCAAACACTACTCCGTTTCGTTCTAAGTTCATATTTCCTAAGAATCGAAGTTTCCATTGAAATGAGTAGTCTAGTCATTCAAGCAATTGTGGAGATCACATTCCCCTTCGCAACTGAATCACCAAACGTCTGAACCCAAAGCTCGCGTCTCGCGTCAGCACAAGCTGTGTAGAACACGGTGGGCTGCGCACGCGAGCGCCGCGTGTGCTTTGAAAGACAAGCCCTCTGAACTCTTCCAGATATCTCTAGCCATACCAGGTCTGCTGGTAGCCATATGGCATTTGTTGCATCTGGTTACCCATCTGGTTGCCCCACATCTGATTCATCCCCTGGCCATACATGTTGTATCCACCAGCATTGCCCTGCCGGCTGCAGATGGCACCCGGCGGAAGTTGCCACACTTGTTCACCTGCCAGGATGTGAAAATAGTGCGTGGCCAAATTTGATGGTCAATAGTTTTTTTTTTCCGTAGTAAAGTAGCTGTTCATGGGCACCGCCCATTCTCACACAAACCCCAATAATTTCCCACCTGAAAGGCTGTTTGATGCTGTTTGTATGGGAGATGGACAAACTTGGACCAAATTGAGGGGTTCACATGTTTCGACTCTCAACTCCGGAGAGTGTTGCAACCGTGAAAGGGTCCGGTAGGTATCTGGGACTTGGAGAAATCTTACAGTGTTTCAACGAAGGTGGAATGGCTGTCGTGTAGCACAACATGAGAAAGCTGGGAAACGCTTGGAAACAGTTGGAAAACACAGATTCAGATACACAAATTTCCATCTGCACTCGTGGAAAAACAGCTGGGAAACCGCAATGCTACAAAGTACAGCCGCCTGTTTGCTCATTGTAGTAGTAGGGCTGTCCTTGCTGATTGTAGTACATCACCCAAGGGCTTTGCATAGGAGCCATCTGGCCCATGCCCATTTGCATGCCCATCTGCCCCATCTGTCCCATCTGTCCCATCTGCCCCATCTGGCCCATTTGGCCCATTTGGCCCATTTGGCCCATCATCTGCGGTGCTTGATACATGGACCTAAGTGGGTTCTGCGGAGAATTGCAGGGAACTTTGCAGCTTTTCGGCGTAGCAAACACTGTGGTGAGCGGATTGTGATATGAATTCACCACAACCAGCGCTGGGACCATTGCTTTGGCAGCCAAGGACTCGTGGAAGTTATCGTTTTTGATTGTGATGTCAACCAAGGTTTTCCGAACCCACTGGTGTTGTGGACGAATTCTTGTTGACGTCCCCATGTTTGCAGCTCGACTTCGAATTTGGGTGAAATCCCCATGTGATGTGAAGAATTTTCTGTTTGCCAAACCCGGCATGGCAAACACCCCCTGGTAGCTCCTATAGATTGAACGTTAACCTCCAAAGTTGGTCCTGTCGTTGAAGCATCATCAAATTGATCATTAAAGCTTCCAGCGATCTCAACCATTAATAACCATTATATATGGCAATGTATGGCTTCTTGAACTATCCCCATCATCCATCTCTATATCCCCAGCTACCTGTTGTTTAAAGCCCTCAGGATCCATCACCAGGCGTCTGTTGCTGCATCTGCATCATGGCCTGTTGTTGCATTGCCATCTGCTGCATCACCTGCAGGATTTCAGCTGTGTTTTGAATTCGGTTTGGCCAAGGACCTTTAAAAACCAGCTGAAACCCTTGAAGTCCTGACACCATCTGAGCATTGTTCAAAACCCTCTGTCGTCGTCCCTTTGTACTGGATGGTTTTTTTTGGGATTCCCCTGTTGGATGATTACAGTGCCCCACAAAAATGGCTTCATCCCCATATTATACATGTTTGAACATCGCATGGAACATGTTGCTCAGCCTGTTGCTCGTAAGCTTGCTGTGCAGCTATCGCATACGCTGTGTAGGTCTCCTGTCAGCACAAAAGGGGGTAAAAGGGGGGATCATCATGGGGAATTTCTAGGGGATTCGATGGGATTTAACCATCAGCCACAGGTGGTTTTACGGAATTCACACTGCCGTTATTGGGATATCATCCACTGGAAAAATTAGGTAGTATAACCGCCCAGAAAAGAGCAATCACCAATGCTATTCTCAATGGCTCGCATCCAACTCCCTAATCCAAACGCTACGATACTTGGGGTCATGCAAGTTGGAATTGAGCCAGTCGTTGTCCTGAGATGGAGGAATAAATTGCTTGTAACCCCATACTCAGTTTCCACGAGGGGATATGATCCAGTTATCATCCAGTTCACCTTGCGCAAGGGCTGCGCAAGGGCTCCTGCATCTGCAGCACATAGGCTTGCCAGGCCGCCCATTCTGCGGCTTCGCGCTGCTGTCGCTCTTGGTTGTGACCTGGAGGGCGCGCCCATGTGATGGCAGCGGTCAAACTGGTCGGATCATCCAGTTGATCAGGTTAGTGACCACTTCAATTTAAGAATGTTGAATCCCATTGAAATCCCACTGAAATCCGCTAGAATCTCAATAAACCCATCTAAAACCCATACAAAACCCATCTAAAACCCATCCAAACCCCATCTAAAACCCATCTAAAGTCCATCTAAAAGCCCTATCTTTGATGGTGAACTCCCGATTTTTTCCATTTCACCGCTGTCACCGCTCCAGGGTACGGATGGCCATCTTCATCGCCTCCTGATCCACTTCGATCTGCTGCTGCTCCGCAGATTGACCTGTGCTGTGGATGGATGATATGGTGGTTTTATTAGGTATTCTAAAGATATTCTATTAATATTCTAGATTAAAGAGGATGATCTAATAAATATTCTAAAGATATTCTATTATTCTATTCTAGATCTTTTTAAATAGAGGATGATGTTGTGCTTTTGGATGATATCAACCCCAGCTGTGTGGATATCTATTCAATGATCAATTGGATAGATTCTAATAATCTATTCTAGATTTTTTGAAATATTGGATGTATCTAGCTATTCTACGCTACTTTATTCCAATCCAATCCTGTTTGTCTATATATGTAACTTTCCATAGATAAATACATTATTATACATCTATGGGTATATATAGACTGTTTTTCGAGACTATGAAGAACTTGGTGTTTTTTTAATGTGGAATTGGGATTGGGACCTAAGTTGGGATGATCCCAGCGTTGGTCCCACCTTTCAGGTAGAACTCCAGCAGCTGCTGCATTTCCATCTTGGCCGGTTCCATGGCCACCGACGGGCCCGCCAACTCGAGACCTGGAGGCGGCGTGTTGAAATGAACTGTCCGTTTTACAAATAAGAAACCAACTTTGGGTATATCAACATGTATGATTTATGTATTGACTCAAGGGTGATATATATATATATATGATTTATGTACTGACTCAAGGGTGATATCTATGATTTATGTACTGACTCAAGGGTGATATCTATGATTTATGTACTGACTCAAGGGTGATATAACTAGTATCCAACATGTATCAAGGGAGGCTTGAGATTTATAACTCTCCATTCTCACCGTCGAAAAGTGGGCCAAGTGGCCCAGCTTGGAGATGCTGCAGTCGATGGCAAACCTGAGAAAATGGCCCAGGATCAGCACCGAGTCCCATATTCTAAGGATCTATTGGTCAACTATGATGTCAACTGGCTTTCAAACGGCCCCCAAAACCGATATCGAACGCTAAACTCATGATTCCCAATCAGAGATATTACATTTGATGTTGAAGCACATCATAAACGCTAACATGATGCTCGGCTGATCGAATTACCCGAAATGGTAGCATGTGCTATTTAGACCGGGAATCTCTCCCATCCTGGCTATACCTCCCCAACCTCCAACAACTAGATCCCTATTTTTCATAAGTTTTATGCTACCAATCCACCCATCTACCCCAATCCACCTATCCCAAGCTGCAACTGGACACACATATATAGATATATGATCATATATGTACATACATAGATAGCTAGAACTAGGTAGATATTGGTAATACGATGTTATATGATGTTATATGATGTAATATTGCCATATATTGCCATGATTTTCTCCATCGCATCATAACAGGGCACTAACCCCCATCCCAGGGCGGGCCAGGGCGGGCACTTATTGGCCAACTGCTCCAAGTCGTCGTGGAAGCTCAGCGGCCAGGTGGACGCCTCATGTGGCAGTTCCAGGGTCTCGAAGGTGGCAGGGTCTACGTCGATGAGCGCCTGGTTCTTGAAGTGTTCCCCAAAGGTGTCCGCCACGGCGTCCTAAACGTGGCGAATTTTCATGGGGGATATGATGGGATGATATGGGGTAGGGATTTCTGGAAATTGAAGTTGTGAAGTTTGAAGTCTGGTGAGATAGGAATGGAAATGGATGGTGGTTGAATGTTGAGTCACTCCCATGTGCAGGCTCAGGGCTATTGATACCCGAATCGACAGAAGCTTAACGTCCGAAGTTTAGTTTCAAACCTTGCTTCGTGAGAAATACCAACAAATGTCTCGTACCAGCCGTAACCAACAACAAAAGCACTGCTTCCTCCCATCCACAACCCATCTCCATCCATTTTCACACCTCCAATTGCTTCCATTCTTCCCTCCATCCCATCTAATCCCTAACGTCCGTATAATCTTAAATATATATATATATATCTATTTCTCCATCGCAAATGATCTCCATATGTCCCATGAAAACATCCAACTTAACTTCGGATCCTCATTGGCCAATCCCAGCAGGTTGTGTCCATCAATGGCCGTAATGGTACAGCCCGCCGTGAGGTGCGGCTGCCCGGGCTTCTCTTCCACCAGATCCACGTGCATCCCCCAGCAGGTCGGGGTCAGCTCCACCCCAGCACCCAGATCCGGGTCCACCAGGAGGTACGGTTTCTCCGGTTCCGATTTGCCCTTGCCCTTGCCTTTGCCCTTCCTGGGGCTTAAAACGGGAGTTAAGGGGAAGACATGGCGGAGTTGTCTTGGAAAGATGAAACTTGTGATATTTCATTTGAATGAGTAAGTGCGGGTGAAATTTGGGAGCACATATGGGATGATTTGCTAATTGTGACGATTGAATTTGTGATTCAGATCGGCCTCGAATCAATCTCTGAATTTGCTTCGAGCATTGCAGGACGGGTGGAATGTCAGGTGATAAGGCAATCGGGTCGACAAGTGAAGGGACCAAATGATTGTCAGTACATGGATGCAATTACCATCTGGTTATTTAACATAGCCATGGACAATCACCATTTCCAATAGGTAAACCATCTATTTCTATGGGCCATCTATACCATGGCAAACTGTTAGTCATAACCAGAGGGTAATTAGAAAAAACATATTGGTGTATGGTCTGTTTGGTGGATCCAATTCAGTTTTTCTCCCCGGTATCCAATTTTTGTAGGACGAACATGGTCGATCCACCAGTTGACCAGTCGCGATATTCCCATCATATCCCATGATATTCCCATCATGTTGGTGATATTCCCATTAATCACTAGACATTCCCATTATCCTCTGGCAAACTTTCACATAACTATGGAAAATCACCATTTTTAATGGGTATATCAACTATAAATGGCAATTTTCAATAGCAAACTGTTTGTTTACCAGAGGGTAATCACTATTAATCACTATTAAACAGTATTAATCACTATTAATCACTATTAAACACTATTAATCACTATTAATCACTATTAATCACTATTAAACACTATTAATCACTATTAATCACTATTAAACACTATTAAGCAGTATTAATCACTATTAAACACTATTAAGCAGTATTAACCACATTGGGATGCCAAAGCCAAGCCTCTCACCTTTGCCCTTGCCCTTGGGTTCTTCGACCTCTGGCGCTTTTTCTTCGATCTTCTCAGGCTCTGGTGGTGGTGGCGACGGCTCATCCTGCGGATCAAGCCGCAGGATGTATCGCAAGATAGGAGTGGTGCCCAAATGAAACCTAGAAAGGATGGGTTATTCATTAACCATCCGAACTTTTAAAATGAACATCCAAAAAGAACACCTGATTCTGGTAAGACATCTATCCCGTTTTACTTCCAAGTTTCCCTCAAACCTGAAATATCAACGGGTACATGGTTGTGACATTCAATCTATCCCAGGTCCTCAACCACTGGTCCCCCAGCCTCATCATCGTTGCGATGGCGGCCAGCATATTTTGGGCCAGTGTTCAACAGCCCCGCCCAGCTCTTTCCCTTGGGCTTCTTCTTTGGCTTCTCCTTAGGGGGGGCGCCAGATCAGGCGGTGATGCAAGTGATGGGAAGCTAGATTTCAAATAAGAATTCAAAGATCTTCATGAAAAAGGATCTATTCTCCCCACGCATTTTCAATCTGTCCATTTATTTCTTGGCTTTTTCCATCTTTCTCACAAAATGGGTGGACCAACAAACTCATCCCATCCAGCTCCAAGCCTCCACTTCCTCGGCCTTCTCCGCGGCCTTGGGCGCAGGCGCGTAGAAGGAGCGGCCGTGCTCCTCGGAGGGAACCACCAACTCGTTCATCAAGGCCTGGCACAGGTGGAGATTTTCAAGAAAAATTGAGAAAGTTGGAGAAAGTGATGGGATGATTGTTGAAAACAATTGGGATGATTGGGATGATGAGCTGTTTTTCTTGTTAAGTGTGCTTGGGAAGAAGTGCCGCCTCTGCTTTGTCGATCTTGTCCTTAGGGGGCCAGGGAGGTTGGTGACATAGGACTGTCAGAGTTTTGCTGTTGAACCATCTTCCCATATCCTTTTGAAGCTATTGGCATATTGCTTTATAGGGGATTTCCCAGCTAGCCATGTTTCATTACCAGAGCGTATGACCATGAATACCCTCTGGTAAACTAACAGTTTGCTATTGAAAATTGCCATAGAAATAGTGGATTTTCTCAGCTATAAAATGGTGATTTTCCATAGTTATGTGAAAGTTTACCAGAGGGTAATTCCATCACTATTCCAGGAACATATTCCCATTAGATCCCCAGTATACCACCATTTTAAGCGTTGGTTAAATCCCCAAAAACCCTGCAGGATGGGGTTTTTAGTCGAAGTCGCGTGCAGTTGCCTTATAAGTGGTTTAATTAACTATGGTTTATGGCAGATATAAGTTAAGACGGCCAGTTAGGCCTGTGTCTGTTGAAAATACCTGAGCATGCAAAAACGAAGAAAACATTAAGAACCGTTGTTTTTCAAGAATCGCGAAAACGCAAAAAGTGGCAAAAAACAACGTTTTCTATAATTATTGGGGTTTATCTATAACTATAACTATAGTAGCAGGGTTTATCATGGTTTATTGGGCTTTATCATGGGGATAAGGAAAAAACATAGTTATGTTTATTTCATGGTTCATAGTTATGGTTTAAGTTACTATAGTATAGTTAGTTAGATTTAACTATGGTCTATGATAGTTAGTTTCTATGGTTTACTATAGTATAGTTAGTTATTTCATGGTGTTCACATCACTATGGGGCCAGCGTCGTCGTCCACTCCCGTCATCTTGGCTTGGATGATGGCCTGGCAGCGAATCATAAAGGTATCCCGAGGCTTCAATGTATATCATGGGTATATATATATAATCCCTATGGGTATATAAGGTATATATATAATTATATAAACATATAATGGTGATATCAAAAAATGGTTATATGATGATTCAGATGGCAAAAAACCATGGTCCATCTTCCCAGGGAATTCCCTTAATAAATCCATCTGGTTGGTCATCCCATCTTCCCATCGCGCCTGCACCAAGGCGGTGGGGTCTCGGCTCTTCATGGCCTGCTGCAACTTCTTCGAGGCCGACAGGGACTCCAAGGTGGTCTCCGCCTCGTCGATGATGGACTTCTCGATACCCGCCTCCTTGGCCTTCGTCGATGGCCATGAAATGGGAAGTTGAAAAAATCTGACGGCCATTTTGTGGTTGAAATGTGGGGATGACATAAAAATTGATGTTACACATAAAACACATAAACAGGTTGATAATGGTTAAGTGTAATAACTACAGATGGATGATACGTGTAGATCATGTGTGGTTGAATGGGGCATTCAGTGCCCTGTCGATTTTTCCTTGGGACCCTCCCAACTAGGCAGTCATTTCAAGATGGTGAGACTCCATGTCACCAAATCTGACCCGTGGCAGCCACCATCATCTCGATGGGACAAAATGCGTCTGGTAAAAGACCAATTTTTTTATATCTATTTTTCATTGGAAATGATCTGAAGTGATGGAGGAACATGTTATGCTGGAGAAATCATAAGTGGCAGGTGCAAACTATGACTTTCCAAGATGGTGACATCGCCGCCATGCTTGGTGATGTTAGGGGGATGGCAAACGGATGTGTTGTCCATCACAGTGGAGGTCGTCAGGTTTCCCAACTTTGGAAACGTGATGAGCCAACTGTGTACATGAGTAAATGAGTAGTAAGGTCCTTCAAATAGTGAAACTTCTTCAAACCAGTTCCAAAAACACCGACCTGTTCAAAAAGAAACCCGGTCCAATAGTAAAACATCGTGCTAATTAGTAATAATTTGATTTGCCAACGAATGATGACATTCGATTTTTAGTGATCATTGGCTATCTTTCACAACATCCGCAAACAATGTAGGCAGTGCCCCACATGGCATCACCCCGAGCCTGAGAGATGACGCTCTTCAGCACCTGATGTCCAGCCACTCAGCACGACTTACATCCAGCTGTTCGATTACGCTCCGTCCAACATCCAGGTGCAACAGGTGCATGATTGACACACTCAAATATTCCATACATATCCCATGATATTCTCATCATGTTGGTGATTTTTTCATAATATTCCCATGAATCACTAGATATTCCCATTATCCTCTGGTAAACTTTCACATAATTATGGAAAATCACCATTTTTAATGGGTATATCAACTATAAATGGCCATTTTTCATAGCTTTTTGTATGTTTACCAGAGGGTACATCATTCCATACATCATTCCATCTCCATCAATCGCAGAAAATCCACCTGGTTGCTGAAAAAATCCATCCATATCACCAGATTGGTAGATCTTCTCCCATATTCGTCCATATCCCGACCATCCCGTCATCCAAGGTTGTTGATGTGTAAAAAAAAACCAGTGTAGTCCCCATGGATTTTGGTCAAAATCCCCAGAAATCCCAACCTTCTGATTCCCCACTAGAGCAGTACCCTCTGGTAAACTAACATAGCTATTGAACATGGCCTATTTATAGTTGATTTACCTGTTAAAGATGGTGGTTTTCCATAGCAAACTGTTGGTTTACCAGAGGGTAAATCCCCATCAATCATGAACAATGCCCATGATTTTTCCCATGAAGCCATCTTGTGCCCTTTGTTTTTCGTTGGTGAATCCCCATTATTGAGATAATCCAGTTCATCCCCGGTCTTCCCAACCATAAAATCCCACAAGTTCCCATACAAGTTCCCATACAAGTTCCCATCAAACCGTCATAAAACCATCATCAAATCCCAATCCACCACATCCTTAGATCTCTTCTCTTTTTAAAGGGATTTTTTAAGGGATCATCAAATCCCATCATTTCACCATCATCCCATCCGAGGCACAGCTTCATCCTCTGCCTTGATGGCATCCTCCAGGGCCTGCGTGATCTCCCGCGCCTTCTTCCCGGCCGCCGAGACGTTACGCGCCGCCTTCTCGGCGCGCGAGAGCTTGGCGGGCGCCGGGTTGGTGGTGAGGAAGTCTTGACGCAGCGCGTTGACCTGGGATGGTGGATGGGGATGATGGGGATGGGGATGGCAATCAATGATGGGCTGGGAAAAACGATCGAAATGGGGAAAACTTGCTGGTTTTATGTGGTGAACAAATTTTGGGGATGGCGGTAGATTTTTCACCACCAAAACAAGCTGAAAGTTGTTTTTCATTCAACAGGGATAAACCACCCATGGAATGATTAGGATGAACTCATCGCAAATGGTGGCTAGCGGCTGCTGGAAGCCAATTTTGTTTCTTTGAACAATGCCCAAGCAATTAAGAAGATCCACAGAAAAGCAATCGAGCTAATATGTCTTCAACTCCTAATACATCTAGCCTTCGGTGTCATCAAATATAGCTTTCTTGGACATCCCTAAATTTGTTCGATGATAAAAACCCTGCTACAAACTTGCACTTAAGGGAGATTGATTTCCCAGCCATGTTTGATTGCTGAAGGCCACTTCATTTTCACACACACACACCCAACCATGTTGTTGGCTAGTGATATCCATATTACATCACCTTTATGGATTGTTTGATGTGGATTTCACCAATATTTGGATTTGCTTAAGGGGCTCAAAAAACATCAACATATTCCCGATAGATTCCCCAGCCATGAATTCCAAATGATAGATTTCCCATTGGGAAAATAAAACATCACCTCAAAACATACCCGATGGTGCCTTGGCCGCCACGTCCATAGGCAGATCTGTCACATAGCCTGTTGAAGGATGTCAAAGCCAGCAAGATCTTTAATAAGATTTTCACCTGGTCATATTGATTCATATAAATATAAGGTGTAAATATATTGTGTATTTAGCTTATACAAGGTTATAAATGGCTATAAGGTGTACAATGGGGTTGCCCATCTCATTCCCAGTTTATGTGGTGATATCATGGAACTGCACCCGCTGGGGGGCTCAGAAGTATCCCCATCCAGTTCTATCCAGTGGTGGTTTCCATAGTCATGGGGGTGCCCCAATAGTTGGATGGCTTACAATGGAAAATCCTATGAGAAAATGGATGATTTAGGGCTACCCCTCATGATTGAGGAAACTTCCAAGTACCGTAACTGACTTAAGTCACCACCCCAGCCCCATCCTCGGAAGGCGCGCACGTCGGCTTTGCCCACTTGGTGGAAGCCCAACCAGTCGCGGATCAAGGCGCTCTGCGAACTGAGCCAGGTGGGAATGTTACCTCGGTCGAAAAACCATTTGGTGGTGAACATTTCTTGTAGCAAATTTTCGATCACTTGAGTTTGTGAAACACATGAGGAACTGCAAACATCCTCGCAATGGTGAACTTAGAGCGTTGGTCTCTCACCTGGAAAATATAGATCATTGCAAGTTTTTGGGATCGACGCGTCTCACCCAAAAATGGGTTGTAGCACCAGTCCCCTTCCTGGACCAGAAGCTAGTTCCAACCTCTGAAAGCATCAACCCAGGATGAGGAAGCCACTGATAGGTGGCTCATTGCTACCATTTTGGGGACCCGCTGACTACTAATCTGCTTTTCTTGTTCATCCTGGACCAAACAAACAGATGGTTCATCATCACTTCCCCATTCATGTTACGAACTCAAGAAGCTTTGATAGCTTTTATGGGTAGACCTCCCTTTCTTGTTGGTTATTCACCTATATTCACCTATGTGCTCACTTGGTTATTAGGTTCCCAACATTTATCAACCCTATTTTCCCCATGGGCTGAATCCTCCAAGACAACGGCAGCAACGTTGACGCCGGGCAGCCCACCACCACACAGAGCCGCCGTGCGCGGCTCAGTGCCACGTTCAGCCGCCGCCAGTCCGCCACGAAGCCTACGTCGCCGCGGCGGTTGGCGCGGACCAAACTCAGAATGATCACCTCGCGCTCGCTGCCTCCGCCGGAGAAATCCAATGGATGTGATGGATGTGATCACGGTGGTGATGTTTTGATGACCTTTGGATACCTTTGGGACTTGAACCATACGGGAAATCGAAGGGATTTTTCGGCGATGGCTGGATACCGTGGGAATCATTGCTTTTCTTAATGGATCTCCGTGATGGTTAATGGATCGGGCGATCTGATGAATGGTATGGATGTGACAAGTGCTTCACGGATGGCGCCTTTCGTTCTTGGCCACCTGTGTGAAAAAATGGTGAAACATCTGGAAGACATGATTGGGGATGATCATTCCACATGTGGCTGAAGAAAATCTTGTCGATACATGTCATCATTTGGTTAGGTTAAGCGACTCTTTACTGGTGAAAATGGTGCACTCACAAAATTGGATGGTTGAGTCCCTTAGCATGACCATGGCATATCAGAATCAGGTACCTCAAATTTGGTAGTTGATCATAGTTGATCATCGTTTTCCTGCATTTTTCCGGGTATCTTGGCCGTAAAATGGGGTAACCCCCCCCTTTTGATAACGGCATGTCCCTTCCCTGGGACCAACGGACCAAATTCTGAGCCACGCGACCTTGGAACGCATCGACGGTGCTCACTTGCACGGACATCTGCGCGTTGTAGGGCAAGCTTCGTTGGATCAACTTCACCTGTGCCATGGTGACCGGTTGACGTCCGTTGATGTCCGTTGCGGCTCCCCACCTGAGCCCCATAGGGCGAGATGATGCCAATGCTCTCTGGTCGGATACCAGATTGCATCACCTGTTCCTGAGCAGCCACCATGGCCACCATGGCCACCATGGATGATTTCCAGGGAGGACAAGCAACAATTTTTGGGGCCCTATGCATCTGAGACCCACATCCATCAATTTCAATTCTAGATCCACTCAAACCATTCAAGAGGGTTCCAGACTTTACCATGGAGGGACTTCAAGGGACTTCAGCAAGTATCTCACAGAGGTTGGGAATATATATATACATATATATATATATCTATGTATATACATATATATATACATATCAATTGTATAATTCACATCTGCATCCATAATTCCAGTGTGGCAGTGATCCGACAGCAGTCGATCATCGTGCAGCCCAAGTTCCACGATCCAGGCTGCACAGTCGGCCTCACCTTCGTTCTTTTTGGATGCTCCACCTGGTGGTGTCGAGGGGTTTTTCGAATTTCTACCACAGCTGGGTGAGTTTTTGAAACAGCACTACAACAACTACAAGTACCCTCTGGTAATTTGTTACATAGCTATTGAAAATGACCCATAGAAATAGTTACTAAGTTGATTTATATATGTTGATTTACCTATGAAAATAGTGACTTTCCACTTCGCAGACGGTAGAAACGTTGACCTCGGGTCGTTCACAATGGAAGGTGACCATCGAGCGGCCTGAGCTTTCAATGGCATCCACATGGAGGAAGACCAGCGAGGATCGGAACGGCAAACCTGGCTGGTTTTCTGGCTGGGTTTTCTCATGTTTGGAACGCCACATCTCCAGGAAAACCATAGGAAAATGGTGGTTTAATGGGATTTAATAGGATATACCCTCTGGTAAACGTTCACATAGTTATGGAAAATCACCATTTTTTTTTTTAAATGGGAAACTCACTATTTCTATGGCCGTTTTCAATAGCTATGTAACAAATTACCAGAGGGTAGTAAAACATCCAACCATCCTTTCTTGGATCCTATGATCCTTCACTCTCAATTTTTACAATCCTTTAGGTCAGTTATCCTGTAAAATATACCCCCCATATATCCATTGCATCCAGTTTTGTGCTTCATCCCCAGTATCCCCATCAGATATGAGACAATCCCCCCCGATTTATAGATGGTTTTTCCCCACAAAACATCCCTTGAAATCAATCACCATTCGTGCTGAACAAATGCCACTTTCTCTCATCAAAACAGTACTTATTCTTGATGAAATCCCATAAAACACCCGCATATCTTCTCATCTTCTCGATCTGTAGATCATAAGTAATTATCATCCCTAGTTGATGAAATCATATGAAAAATCCCATATTGCTGGCATATCCCTATGGTATTCTCCCATCTCTTCACCATGGCCCGGCCTTGGGGCATGGGCCGATCCGCGTCGGTCACGGCGTTTTTCAGCTCCCCACGGTAGAAGCGCCAGGATGGGAAGGCGCTGATGGAGGGATGCATTCCTGGGAACACCCTATGGTTAACCTATGGAGAATCTATGGTTAATCTATGGTTAATCTATGCAATGTGGTACCCCTCAGTTATAAGTTAGTTTATAACCCCCATCAACTATAGATATGTCTACCATAAGTCCTACTTATTGCAGTTATAAACCAACTTAGCTATCTATGGGGCACCACTATGTGGTTAATGGTTAATAGTTACCCTCTGGTTATTTAACATAAAGCCATATGGAAACCATGGCCCATAGAAATAGATGATAAACATGATGATTTAGCAAACATGGTGATTTCCCATAGCTACGTTAAATAACCACAGGGTATATGGCTTGTAAAAAAACATGATGGGATAATATATATATGGATAGATAGATAGATAGATAGATAGATAGAAAGATAGATAGATAGATAGATAGGTAGATAGATAGATAGGTAGATAGATAGATAGATGGCTTGTAAATATCATGAACCATGATGGGGATGAATATACTAATATGTTGATCTGATCAGTATTGATATATCTATGTTCCCTATGACATTTATATTTGCAATCATATCATGTTAATTACACGATATCATTCCAACATATTCCAACCAAGTCATCTTTCGAAAATTGCCGATGAGTGATGAGGGTGTTTTTTCCAGGCGTTGGCTCCGTGTCTTTGATTCCAGAAATGCTACTGAGCCTCTGTGAACAATGGAACACTTCAGTGGTTTATCCAAGGGAACCGTGTAATCCAATAGAAATATGGCTATCTTGCTGAATGGGTGATTCTGAAGCAGCTGCGAATTTTACTCACCAATACGAGGATTTTCATCAGCAGAAACCATGGATGCTGCACCAAGAATGATCAAACAGATCATTTCTGGGAGCCTTCCAGGGCAACATCCAGAGACATCCTGTGCAGTTTGCCAAGGAGCGGTACTGGTCGGTGAGGAGGGTGTATTCCATGCCCATCGACAGCAGTCCTTGGCGATGCTCCAAAGTTTAAGTTGTGTAGTCTGTCACATTGCCAACTTCCACATTTGAGGATTCTCTCATGAAACCCTTCCAGCTCCCCATCCCAGGATCACCAAGCTGCGGTCGAACATGGAGATGTCCAAACCTTTCGTTTGGGCTTCCTGGCTCAACACCGTTGCTGGCAGCTGACACTGATCTCCCACCATCACCTGCTGGGGAAGACACGGTCCAAAACGACGCCATAAATATAGGAAATTAATGGGATCGAAATAATGTACAATAGTAATCATGGTTGATATTTGGTATAATAGGGATATTTCATGGGAATATCATGGAATATTCGAATGGGATATGGAATGCTGATGGAATATCAATGGATTTTTGGCCTCTGGTGTCATCAAAGATGGCCATGGAAAATCCCCTTCAGTATAATAAAATAAATCGAGGTTTATAGCTAGGAAAAAAGAACTCGCTGAATCAGGGATTTTAACGATTGCCATGTTTGATTGGAGGGTATGTTTGAGAGCTAGCTCATTTCCGGCCTCAATATGATGTCATGATAATTCAACTGTAAAAATCATCCAAGTTCTACCCATGAAAAATCACTCATCATCTTGTTGGTTGATCCCCATATCATATCCCAATGCCCCGTGACCACCGCTTACCACCATCAGCTGATCCCCCTGATGTTCCCATAGGGGTAAGTCCCTAATGTTGATGGTTAACTTCCATTAGATGATTAGATCCCACCACATGCCCATGTTTTTGTTGGTTCAGCACCGCTATTATTGGGATAATCCACTTAACACACCATCCAGAAATGTTCGATATCATTAAACCTGCAATATCATTATACTGGATCCCAAATCATGTTGGTAAAGCAATAGTAAACCAGCCCCAATTTTACCATACATGGGTGGTATAAACCATCAAATACTGGTGCTGAATATTCTTGCTATACTCACATTACCCTCTGGTAAACTAACATAACTATGGAAAATCACAATTTTTAATGGGTAAATCAACTATAAATTGCCATTCTCAATAGCTATATTTGTTTATCAGAGGGTAATAAGAATGTTTCGTGATCTGTAAAATCAAGAATATCATGGAATATCAATGGATATCTGGTTGGTTGTTTTTTAATCATTTTGAAAAATATTAGTTAATGGGAAGGATTATCCCATATATGTTTGAAACCACCAACCAGATATTTATCATCCCATCAGATATCAATGGCGGCGCCAAGGCGCGGCTTGCACAGCTCCTTTGCCCAGCGGCAGAATTACGGCAGGCTCGATGACCTGCGAGTTCGATGGGGATTTCCACGGGGATTTGATGGACCATTCTCTGTAAATAATGGGCCCCCCTCGAAATCGCGTTCAGTTGAGATATTTCTGTGGCTGAATTAACTATGGTTTATGGTAGATATAACGAAGGAGATAACTATACTTCATGGGGAGAAATGGGGATGTTTTGTGGGGATATTTGAGATGTAACTAACCAACCATAGGGTTTTAATTTTGTCCAAAAAAAGGTGTATACCACCCAAATGGTGAACATGACGAACAACCATTGGACTGTTGAATATCCCTTTCCAGGCGAACCCATTCTGATCTCAAAGATTTCTCTAAATGGATGGAATACCCTCTGGTAAACATACAAAAAACTACGGAAAATCACCATTTTTACTGGGTAAATCCACTATGAATGGCCATTTTCAATAGCTTTTTGTATGTTTACCAGAGGGTAACCTGCCATATCTTGGATTTTACAGCACCATCTTTGTAAACATCGACTCAGCCCGACCATGCGCGCCTGAGCTGCTTCATCGATGACGATGAAGGGAAAGGTGCGGGAATCCAAAGGACCCATGCCACATCCGATGCAGGTGGCACAGACCACATCGATGTTCTCCAGCACCGCCTACGGATACGGCGGATACGGATCCACAAAATGAGGGCTTTCACAAAATGGCTTTCCCAATGTTCGATGACACCGGAGGGTAGCCTTTTTGTCGGGAAACACATATATATATATATTACATATATATATATAATAGATATATAATAGATATATAATAGATATAATATAAAATAAAATAAAATAAAATAAAATAAAATAATATAATATAATATAATATATATAAATACATATTATATGTATACATATTTCTGCAACCATAGTTTACATCCAAACTCTTGGGGGTGAACTCACCATCTCTAATAGCTAACATGACCCCAGTCCTGCCCAGCCGTCGGTCCGGCACCTTCATTCCCTTGTCCCCTCTTCTCATGCCGCACTCCTCCAGACGAGTTTCCTGCGAGCAGAATGGAGACCACTTTGGGAATCAATGTAACCACTTCATGATGATTGCCTTTCTGGGGTCGAATACTGTTCTTTTTTCTCACATACCCATTGTTTTCATCATTTCTGGGTACCCCGTGTGGCAGCGCCACATTGCAAAACCAAACCCCGCCCGACCATCCGAATGGCCCATGATATGAGGTAGTTCACAAAGTTCACAATCCCCAAAAGTAGCTAAGTTGACAACCCCCCTGTGGCGCAGTTGGTGTACTTAGTTTACTTGTTTACCTCGTGATCTCTCCCACACCAAGGTTCCAATGAGTAGGGCTCTTTGGCCGAGCATAGACCCATTCGCAGCACGCGAACTCCGAATCCATGCAGCTGTTGCCTCGATCACCATCGGAGATCTCAAGAGCTTAGAAGATCCAATTTGTCAATGGATTGGTTTGGAAAGTCAATGGAAAGTCTATAGTAAACCATGGTCACCAACAAAAAGAGCTTTCCGGTGTAAAACTTCGCCATTTTGACTGCTTCTCCTACTCACCTTTTTGCAGCTTCACCCATGAAACCAAAATGGAACCCCAACACATCACTATTTCTCATCCGAAAATCATCAAAACCCTACACAACTCTAGGCGTTTCCAATGGTTTCCATACTAAACGTTTTCCATCTCCCATTTTCTTCACCGAAAGACGCGATGTTGTCACATCCCTTGTTGCTGAAGGCAGACGCCAACACGGGGCCCCGGTTGCTCTTCAGCCAACCGCAAATGATGGCTGCAGCCGTGGTGGTTTTACCCGTGCCCGGAGGCCCCTGGATCAAGCTGAAACGCCTGGGCGAAAAAAATCGAATTGGGGTTTCTTGGGAAGACCCCGTGGAAGAAAAATCGCATTGTTGTGGATATATGGGATTATATCATATTATATCATATCTGAATCATATCTATATAATGGCGATGAATTGTAAAATTGGGCCAAAAATTTGGTTTAGAAAAGCTCTATTCGTTTGGTCGGCCATTTGTCAGATGGATGACTTGCACTGACATGGTCCGTGCTATTCGTCTTGAAACAACTTTGGATAAATCGGATGAGAAAACTCTACCAACAAATCTTATGTCCAATTCTGCTTGAAATACTGCTAGTAATGCATTTTTTTTGCCTTCACACATCTTTTCACTGTTTCTGTCTGACAAAAGCCGCATTTTCACAGGTCGAATCTTTTGATCTCCCATGATCTCCCTACTCCCTCCCCAGATCGGAAAAATTGCCATGTGCTGAGGCCTCCTCTGTTCCAGCACCATGTCGCACGCACTTTGCTGCGATTCGTTCAAGGTCTTACTGCTATGAATATCACCTGAGGTCGACATTCGACATGGGAGCTCAAGCACTGGCAATTTCTTCATGCCAAACTCTAGCAATTTCCTCAGAACCTTTCTGTTTCTTGTGGTTCCAAACAATGGAAAAACATGTTGATGGGATTCCCATGTGTTTTCACAGGCTCACCCATTGTGGACTCCACCCGTCCAGGTGACTCACAGCGCTGTACTTCTCTGCTCCAATGTCCTTCTCCTGAGAAAACATGGAGAATTCAGCTACTGAGAAAATGTTTTCCCCCAGTTCGATGATTTTCCTATCCAAACCTCCGTAAAATCGTAACTGGAGGGTTTCCCGTTGCCAAAATTGATTACCAAAGGGTCGGTTGTAGCAGTTGTAGATACCCGTGGCTGGCAGTAGCCAGAGCTGTCCTTGTCCAGCGAGCTTTGATGGATTTCCATATTAATTGTTAGATCCACAGGGTATTTTCAATGGCTCTCCCATCTTAACACCATTTTTGTCACCATTTGATTGTTCTAATCCCTTTTCATCAGTTTGGGTCTTTCATTTTCCACATATAACCCCCATCATATCCCCCTATCAGCATTTTCCCATATAATTCTCCAATAATTCTCATCAGACTCCCACATAATCTCCATAAAATGCTCATTTTCCCACATCACCAAAAACCAATCCCTTTTCGAATCTCCACATGACCTAAAAAACCTCAAAATCCTCGTTTCCGGCGTTTCCCCCGTCCTTGGCAGCCCTGCTGATGTCCGCCTTGGGATTGGGCGCAGCTCGCGTCATGGGGTCCCACTTCGCCGCGCTGGCACTGGACTCGCCGATGTCTGCGTACAAGGCATCGGCCAAGGGGGCGCCGGGGAGCAGCAAGCCGCAGAGGTTCGCGTTGTAGTTCAACTTCTGAATGGAATCCTGGAGCCCATGATTGGCAAGGCCGGTAAGGCAACTTGGTGGATAAAACATGATAAAACTAGATGAACGGTCACGGTCCATGGTATCATATGGTATCAGTCTTTTTTACCTGAATTGGGATGTTAAGAACGGAATCCTGATCAATTCTGGAGATTTGGGGACCATCAGCGCCATCCACATCTAGATTCCAGATTAATTTGGCTATAGCGGCTGTGCGCACCATGCCAAGTGTATAAGCAAAAGTCTCCACGGCAGCCGGTTCTTTTCTCTGTACCAGGAAGTGGTCCGCAACTGGTTGGGAACTCAAGAGACTGCCAATCATTGCAAAGTATCACCAAGCATCCATTTGTGGTTCTTGGATTGCAAATCACGGCGGCTTCAATGGGAATGGCCTAGTTTATCCGTCATCAACTGGTCACCCAGCCAAACTAGTGGTATCTAGTGATCAATGAGTTTTGCCACACATGCTGAGCATAACTGAGCCATCCCCCGTCATAATATTTTAAAATATTTTAAACTTTAAACTTTTAAACGCTTTCGTTCGGCCAACCTAAATCTCTCTGCGTCAGTTGGCCTCACCGAACACAACTACGCGGCACCTCGCACTGTGCGTTGAACCTGACGATGGACACTTGGTCGTGCGACTTCCAGTGAGAGCGACTTGATGAGTGCAGGATCTCCGAAACCTGACGTGGCTGTCGTGGCTGTCGTCACCTTGGCATCCGAGGTCTTCTGTTTCTTCTGTTTCTTGCGTTTCTTCTCCCTGGATTTGGAGCCGGTGGATTCCTTGGAGAAAAACGCTACGGGCAACACCGTTTCCGTTTTCTCCGATGTCTCCACGTTGTCTCCGTGGCTCTCCATCACGCCCGAAGGCATCTAACCAACACGAAACGGACTGGTCCACGTAACGGCTGGTCCACGTGACGATGAGCCAAGAAACTGCGCAGCATTCGATTGCCACATGACGGGTGTGAGCCTAGAATCCTAAACTGAAACGGAGCACGAGCCCCAGAGAATATGACGAAATGCTCTGTCTCCTCTTGTGTGTTCAGTGTCAAATGCTGCATGGCACACCTGTACTCTACACAGAAATGTCACCGAACTGTGGAAATACAGAGGTGGATATTGCCCAGAAGCAACTGCATAGGAAAGATGGAACAACCCTGCATCCAAGTGCCAACCCACATTCCATCCAAAAGATAGATAGAAAGACTGCACCATTTGGTCAATGTTTGGCTCATGTTCCATTCCAATTGGTGTTTATGTTCATGTTCGATCCACTTGAACATAGTTTGGATTTTTGAAGAAATACCAAAAGCCATCCACCTTTATGATTCTTGACCAGTGCCCGCCTGTTGACGAATTAACCACTTTTTTTGACAAGTAAGACCCACCAATTTAAATGGGTCCGTTTTTTTTTGACTCATTTGTACTAATTTCCTACTTTTATGGGTGCCGGTTGAACACTCTACATGTGTCGAAGCGGTAGAATGCAAGTATCTGGCTGGTTGAATCCCAATTTCCATGGCTGAAATCTCCATTTTCCTTTTCCACAAATGGCTATCCCCAAAATCCACATTGATGTTCGCAAAACCTCCATGAAATCATGGCTTCAAACCTCCACATCTCACTTTAGGAAAACATCTGAAATCCCCACAAACCGCCATTTTCCTCCATTTTTTCCTCCATTTTCATGGCTTAAAATTTCACCATTTTTCCACCGCCCCGGCTAAGCCACTGCCCGGGCACCCGTGGGTTCGCTGCTTGATCCACACCCAGACATCGTTGGAGCTCGTCCAGCATGCGGTCGATGCGCTTGTTGGCCACGATGTTGGGACCCAAATCCACACGGTACCTGGAGCTTTTGAAAATGCTATGCTGAAGACTGGGCAACCATAGATGAGTTATATATCCATAGTTAATATATGATGGTAATATATGATAGTCTATCTATATATGAGTAAAATGATGTTAATATATGATGTTAATATATGATTATATATGTATACATCCATAGATGAGTTAACTATATATCCATAGTTTAGATAAGTTTTTTCTAGGGGGTTGATGTTAAACCACCAAAGACCTGGGGACTTCATCAATTTTGGTGTCCACCTGGGTTCAGCATCAAAATTCTGGATTTAAGCTACGTGGACAGCACATACCTGGGCATAACTACAGGAAGGGACCCCAAGATAAGTAAGTTGCTGTGGGGCACTAGTTTCATTGGGTTTATAATGGATATACTCATAGTGAGACGAGTTTACAAACCAACAAGTGGGGAAATGATCTACAAATCGTGAATTTTCCATATCTATATTCATTTATTGCAGGGGAGCTACCAACGAAAAAACGGGCATGTTGATCGCCAATCATCCACGACCATCGTGGTCCGACTTGGAACTTCACCATCGTTGCAGCCGGAAAGATAGAATCAATTCCAAGGGCAATGACAGGGAAAACTCTTCCTTCCACATTCGGAATCGAATCAAACATGGGAATTTCACCCACCAATATGAAGTTCAGACACAGCAAAATTGTGATTTTTCACATTATGCTCAAAAGAAAAAAACTGGCTCCGGAAATGGTTTGTGATTGAGCCAGCTGCCCAAAAAATCTACCCATGGGTGAGCACATCCATAGGTACGGAGATCCCACTTTATCTATCTATCTATCTGTCTAGTCTAGTCTAGTCCAATCCAATCCAATCCAATCTATCTATCCCGTGATATAATTCCACAAAATCCCATTAAATCGCATAGAAGAGTCGATAGAAGTAATCTCTCACCCGATCAACTCCCCACGTCGCCGAGTGGCAGATCCTTTCCTCCGGTGGAGGGCAGGCGCTCGTATGGGGTGCTCAAAATCATGGTGTTGTCGCGGATACCTCTGGCGGTGTGTTGCACCGTTGAAAGATGCGATGCTTTACCATTTCTGGTAAACTAACATAACTATGGAAAATCACAATTTTTGATGGGAAAATCCACTAGAAACGGTGATTTTCTATAGTTATGTTACAGTAAATTACCAGAGGGTACCATTTCTACTGCTTTCTTTAAAAATCAAGCACAGAAGAACTATGGAGGTTTTCCAAACATCGGGCTATTCTGATGCTTTACAGTTCATATTTTCGAAACCATCCAGCAGCGACTCACCAGCCATGAGGGAACCCGTTTCCACTGCGAAGTGAGTTGCTTTCGACCTCCGCCGAGATGGTTTTCTTGGGATCCTGGAAGCGGTGAAATCTCATCCTGTGATGGCTTGATCCACCAGTTCCACATCGAAATGGACCCATGTCGGGTAGCATTTTTAGGACCAAAAAAGTGAGTTGTTGGTGATTTGTCCCATTCTATACCAATTATACCCCCATTATATCCCCAAATGGGTTCAATCCCCATTAAACCTATCTTCACCATAAAAATCAAGGTGAAGATTGGTTTATGAAGATAGATTCAACAGGAATTTCACCAATATGTGGGTCTGAATCAATCAAATATATCTGGCTGACCATATTTCACGATCTTTCCTTGAATACCCTCTGGTAAACTAACATAACTATGGAAAATCACAATTTTTCATGGGAAAATCCACTAGAAATGGTGATTTTCTATAGTTATGTTAAATTACCAGAGGGTATATACCAGTCACAATTACGATTGTTGGTTATGTCCTTTGTAGTATCCAAGTGCATCCCCAAAGTTCGATGATTTGCCCATGATTTCTTACACAAATGCTATCACACTCTATCATTTTCAGGCTTTTCCCAGATGTTTTCCCACATTTTCTCGTAAAAAATGGCTTTTCCCATATGATTTCCTACATTTTCCCGTAAAAAATAACTTTTCTCATATGTTTTCCCCATGTTTTCCATAGGATTTTCCCATTTTCCCCGTGATTTTCTCGGTGAATCGCCCAGTTTTCACAAATTCCCCACCTCGAGGTCAACGCCGCCGTCCACGGTGCTGAGCAAAACCGCGCGGCCGAACTTGATCTCCTGGAGAACCAAAAAAAATGTTAATTCAATGGATTGGTTTAAATGGACAGGTTTCATCGGAATCGTGGGGAACATCACCAGTTTGAATGGCTAGTTCATCTATAAATAATCTACCCTCTGTTTATTTGTTACATAGCCATGGAAAATGGCCCATTTATAGATGGGTTTACCGAACTTAAAAATGGTGATTTTCCATGGCTATGTTAAAAAACCAGAGGGTAATAGTATAGATAATATAGTATAGATATGTATCATGATATGTATAGATATGTATCATGATAATTCATGATAATTGATGATATGTATCTCATTTAGTATAGATCGATGGTTATTAATATATAAATGATCATTTATTGATGGTATCTGTACTATATGTTGATGTACTTATTAATATTATCTCCTATAGATATAGATAAATTAATATACTTGCCATTGATGATATTGATGGTTATTAACTATTATCAACCATGAACAAATTTGAACACCCGATGGGGTTTGCTTGTTTTTAATGGAGACACACATAGAAACACCCCAATCTATGTCTATTTTAATGGGAAATAATATGGGGACATGTTGATAACGTCACCATGACGGATTGTGATATCAATGATTTTAGAACTGGTTACTCCAGTAAATGATCATAGACCCTGAAAACAGCATTTTTTTAGTGGAAACTAATCTTCCAACCCCGAACTTATGGAAGGATCAATGCTAATTTACTGGAGTCAGTTCGTGAAAAAAAACATATCACTGATAAAATCATTGATATATCAAAAATAAAAAATATAAATTACTTGAAGCCCATTGTTCCATATTTTTCCCAGTGGGGAAACCCACCTGGCCCAAGCCACATCTTTTCGTCAGTTTCAATAGGTTTCTCGGGATAATCCCAGGGGAACGAAGAGTTTTTGGGCACCAAAAAATCTCACAGATCACGGGGCCCCCGTTGTCGAGCGAGCGATCGCGTGAACCGACACGCCTAAAAATTCAGTGGCTGAATAAACGTGGTTTATGGTATATATATATATATACACATACCCTCCGGTAAACTAACATAACTATGGAAATCACCATTTCTAATGGGAAAATCCACTATAACTGGCCATTTTCAATAGCTATTTTAAATTACCAGAGGGTATATATAACATGATATTATATGATACAACTACATAAGTATAGTTACATAGTTCTTGGGCTTTTTAGCCAACGTGAAAACATCACATCATGGGGCCCCATTGATGGCCAAGGGGGCCATCTGAAAAGGATCCGGTTTCAACGGATGGCATGGGCTCTGAAAGGGTACCCTCCGGACCATGGCTTGCTGGACTCTCCAGTTCGATGACTTGATGACTTTGCGAACTACCCTCTGGTTATGTCAAAATAGCTATTGAACATGGCCATAGAAATAGTGGATTTTCCCATTAAACATGGTGATTTTCCATAGTTATGTTAGTTTACCAGAGGGTAAACCTCCAGTTTACGGAGGAGGGATTTCCGTTTGCCAAGTTGAATAACACAAAAGAGGGCTGTTGAACTCCGAGCGTTCACATCCCCAGATTTTCCATTCAATCCCAATAAAACGCGATTTTTATGGCTTCACCACGGAATCAATGGTTCATCATTGGTGAATCAATATGTTCCCCATGAAATTGGCATGGCAAGGTCGCAGTGGGCCGATCTTTCCATCCCAGTCTCCGAGAGGTATGGCATGCGCCAGCCATCGGGCCACAGGGTCACACGGCCATAGACGGCATCAAACTCAGCGGACAATCCTCGGAGAATTCATGGATCGGAGAATGTCTGGAGAAGGGATGGGATCCCTTCCGGATTCCATCCATTTGAATCCAATATTTTCGGAATCCACATGGAACATTCCGAAAATCCCCCATTTTTTTCGGGAATTTTTCTGACTGGAATGAACATTCCACAGACCCAGGTGTATCCAAGTGGCCGGCAACGCCAATGCCCTCATCCTGGCGCCGAGCAAGTGACCGGGGAAACCCCAACTGCATACATTGCATTGCCACATGGCATACACGTTACTTCGCCTGCATACTGATCATCGTGATCCCACCTGCAGCTGCCGAGTGCTTCTCTTCTGGACCTTTTCGAGCACCGCCTGTCTTTCGGCTTCGTATTCCAACTCCAAGCTGGAAGTGAAGTGTCTCACGTAGGCATCCAGCGAGCTTCGCCATTCCTGCCATGAATCTCAGCATCTGCATCTGACTGAATGTAGCTCCCTACCATCCACGTCACCATCCATCCAGCACCCATTTTTGTTGCTTGAATCTCATTCTTGTTGATCAAATCCCCATGTTTCTTGCTTCACCAAAAATAAATCCACCATTCCACTCAAAAGCCCCCCAAATTGCTCCATCTTGCCATTTTTCAGCACAAAAAAAACCCATCATCCTCATCCTCATCCTCATCCTACCCATCGTTTCCATGAGCCACATCATCCCGCTTAGTAAACCTGATGGTTAATCCGGTTAATTCCCAAATATTCATGATGAAGCCCCATATCTTCCAATCAATCTTCACTTGGATGGTCCCATGGATCACTGCTTGGTGGTGCGTTTTGTGCCCATCTTGAAAAATCATGGAGTGAAAGTCAATGGGTTTCAGATGACATCCCATATATGAAATGGAAAATAAAACATGTTCCAAACCACCAACCAGATCATTAAGTGCTTAATCGCCAGTCCGTTACTTCACCTGTTTTAATCAGTCCGGACGATTCACCTTTTTGTTAGATCCTCCAGGTCGATGTTTTTTGTGAATTTTCCCCATAGTTGATGCTTCATCAAAATGATCTCCATACACAAATCCCCATTCTTGATGGGTTAGATCCCATATTTTCCCTATAAGTCCCTATAAGTATCATGGGTTAGATATGGTTAGATCATATATGGGTTGATTCGAAGTTCCCAAAAATGGACATCCCCGTCATCCTCACAAAAATTGTTCCACATCTTTTCCACCCTTCTCAAGGAGTTCAAGGAGTTCTTTCTGACCCATCTAAAAATCCCGATCATCCATCATCCCCATATATTTTCCCATCTCCATCCATCATTTTCCACAGTTAAGGCCATGTATTAGTTATAACTGGTTATTTCTATGGGAACCCATAGATTCTATAAATGGGCTGACTTGTTGCTACAAAAATAACTGGTTGTGTTTTTCACTCGGGCCATTTTTTTTTTGTCAAAAAATCCCCACCTGGGTGAGTCCCCCGGCTTGTTCCACCGTGCGCCAACCGTAGGGCGTCAACACAAACTTGGGCCCCGCGTCGCCGCCGGCATCGGCGGCGGGTTCGGTGACGCTGGGCCCGGCGCCCGAGATGCGCGTGGGGTGCGGCACCAACTGGGCCTCGGCGATCCACTTGAAGCCTGGCCGTGACCATGGGACAAGCCGTTGGGACGACAATGGTCATGGCATGGGGATAGAAAACCATAGAAAAACCATAGAAAACCCATAGGAAACCATAGAAAACCCATAGGAAAATGGTGACTTAAGCTAGAACAAATCCATGATTTTTATGGGATTTTAGCAACAAAAGTGAGGATGTCATGGGAATATACTGGCTTATCTTGATGTATAGCATGAATAGATATGGGGAAACCATCCAAGATGGGGTTTTTTATGGGATATGACATGGTACTAATGGTGTTTTTTGGGTGATTTAACCATCAAACTATGGGGATTTAAACAAGAAACATGATGGTAGAATGGGATATTCATGGGATGTAACGGAAGAATTGGGATGGATGATGGAGTAAGCAACAAAGATGGGGAGCTAGCAATTTATATGGGCAGTTTCGAGGGGATGTAGAGTCAACAATCAATGGATACATTGGGCTGCAGAACAACCAACATATGGTGGGGGAAGCTGTCAATATTTCTAAGATTGTCCAAGTACTTTTTGCAAGTTTACAGCAACTGACCAGGAACAAAACAAAATGAGGAAACCATGAAAACCGGCCAAAAAAGTGATTACATCATAATCCAAGATGATACCAGTAACAGAAACTTGCCCATGTTTTTTAGAGTTACATACAGTTAGCCTCCAGTAATGTGGCAATGGAAACACCTCATTCAAAATGGTGATTTTCTATGATTTTCTCAGATATCATGGATCATTTCACCATCCCAATAAACCTAATTTTTCTCAGATATGATATAACTATAGCTGATTTTTCACCTCCAGCAAGGCAAATTTCCGTTCAGTTCGCCACCTTGGAGTCCCAGTTGGGGTTTTGGAACATTTCCATTATGCCATCACATCCCCATGATCCCATGAAAAAAATCCCAATAAAACTGCGCAGTTTTTAATCTGTGTGTGAAATCTTTGTGTTGGTAAAACAACAAGTCATCTGGTTGGTGGTGCGTTTTGTGCCCATCTTGAAAAATCATGGAGTTCGTCAATGGGAAGGATGACATCCCATATATTATGGACAATAACCTCCAGTTGCAAGGGATTTCCCATGAAACATCCCAATAAAACAGCAGTTTTATCTGTTTGTTAAATCAATGTTGGTAAAACAATTTCAACAAACATTAGGATAATATCATATAAACCATCATAAATGGATAATATGATGGATCATTTCACCAATTTCATAAACCATCCCCTGTTATTTCACCATTTTTGGTGATGAACTTCACAAAACTCTTCCGGTGGCATTTCGCCTCCAGACAATGGAGGAGCTCCACCGGATCCATCGAAGGAGATGGAGAAGGTGGCCTCTTTGGTGTAGACATGGGGAAACAACGGCACGCCTGGCGCACACAGCGTGTCACATGTGGAAAAGTGTGGAAAAGGTGCGTTTGAAATGTAGATCTTCCGGATTTGAAAAGGGGTTTTCCATGGTTTTTTTCCACATCTAGTTTACCCCAGGGTAAGTTGTGGCAAGTTATTGCAAGTTATGGCTGAGTTGGAAGATGCACGTGCACAGTGACTCAGTGGTCCATTTCATTCCATTTCCACATCTATTTCTGGGCATTCCCATAATTTCTTGCTTGCACTTCCACAGATTTAGGATCTAACAGCTTCACGCATTTGGACACCCCGAACGCGCCTGATAGCTCTTTGCCGAACGTGAAGCAATCGCCTTGGACACTCTTCATGTTCCGCAACAACACACACATGGAAGGACGGTTTTTAGCTCTTGATATCCAACAAGACTGCCTCGACCCTTCAAGTCGACGCACCTTCCAGTTGACGTCCCTGTTGAGGGCAGGATTAACATACGAATCATACGGACATGAAACTGAGTAGTATGGACCACATTTTTCAACATCATGTCAAGGTTATATCCCTTGGGTGTTCGCTTCGTATTCCACATTGCCAAATGTTCACGGCTCAGGGGTGAACCGGGGATGGTGAGTGAACCCCATCCTTGATGGTTTAAATCCTCTAAACAATAGTGAAGTAGACATATTTCACCATCCTTTTTGCCACTTTTTTTTAAAGATATTCCAAGTTACAGGGGGGTATAACTCAGTATAACCATGCTTGACTTATTCCCATGAAACGATGACCCGAAAACACCAGGTTTTAGCATGTTATAATTCGATAAAGAATCATTCATATTATAGTATAGCAATATTTTATTGCATGTAACATTTTTCACACACCCAATTTTAATGGTATTTTAGCCATGCCATTGCGCCCAGGAACCCGGAATCTCGCGGCCATTTTTGAAGTAGAGGATGGCCCTTCTTTCCAGGTCGACACAGCAGGTGATGGCATCATCCTTTTTGGTGACGGGAGCGCTGGCTGCTGGTAAATTTTCACCATGATTTTTTAGCATCAACAATGGGGATTCTTCAATGGGATTTAATGGAATAGTCATTTGATCATATGAATGGGATTTAATGGGATTTAAATGGGATTTAATGGGATTTCATGATGGCATATGATGGCTGATTGATGAATTTTGGGTGAATGATGGCTTTTGCTGATGTTTTTTAGCGGCTTTGTAAAGCCCTGTTTTTTTTTGAACCGGGTGCCACCAGGGGGTCAGCCATTCACGGTGAGGCCCCCGAAAAAACAATAATGTTTCACCAGTCGAAACATTGTGATTTCATGGGATTTCGACACTGCTGATTTATGATAGCTAAGTTGGTGCTTTTATACCCTCCGGTAAACATACAAAAAGCATCAAAAAGCTATTGGAAATGTCCATTTATAGTGGATTTACCCATAAAAAATGGTGATTTTCCATAGTTATGTTAGTTTACCAGAGGGTAACTACAATTAATGGTTCATGAAAGGGAGATATAAATGTAGAGTTACGCGTAGAGTACTCATGGTTTTTTTCAACCAACGGTGATCCGTTGATTAGCCACCAATCAACCCATCAACGGAGGTATATCCAGATTGTTGGTGAGTTATATCCATGACATATCCCCCATTTATAGATATCTATAGATTCTTTTACCATGAAATATCCCATGACTAAGCCAGCTTTTCTGATCAAGTTGACCCATGGCTCTGTTTTGCCCATGTTTTATGGTGTTTTGATGGATCCCCAAGTGGTTTGGCTCGATGTTTTTCGCCGTCCTTGCCGAAGGTTTGACCAAACTTCTCGAAGTTTCCCGCGTGACTCTTCGTGGCAGTGCCGCCAAATCCCCAGGAGAATCGATCCTCGGGATCAGCACCATCCAAAATAAACCTCCGAAAAGAAGGTGGTGCCCCAGGTAACTATTGGTATGTTTATTGGTATGTTTATTGGTATGTTTATTGATGTTTATTGATGTTTATTGATGTTTATAAATCACAAATCATAAATCAGTTTGTAACTAGTTCGATTGAGATCTACCATGAAGTGAAATTGGAGTTATAAAAGCACCAACTTAGCTATCATGAATCAGCAGTGTCGAAATCCCATGAAATACCCATTTTTGTTGGTTAAGTCTCGGTTACCCTCTGGTAATTTAACATAGCTATGGACATCACCATTTTCAATGGGAAAATCCACTATAAATGGTCATTTTCAATAGCTATGTTAAATTACCAGAGGTTATATCCCATTAAATCCCATTAAACCACCATTTTCCTATGGTTTTCCTATGGTTATGTTAAATTACCAGAGGGTAAGTCTCCATTTTCCAAGGCACAGTTCCCAGGGCCAACTTGGAGTTCTCCATGGACCAACCGATGCGCAGGTTGCCACCGGTCTCGTTCCACACGCAGAAGGCCCAGAGCCCTTCAGCCGCCACGCCGCAATCGGCCCGGACGCCGGCCCACTGTGTGCCTTGGTTCAATGGGGAAGATGCTGAACCCCCTGTTTGAGGAGGTTAATCATGGATTTCTTCAGCGGCATTTCACTCTGGGTATCACAATCCTTGCCCAAAAAACCAACTAAAACATACCTAAACAAGGTTAACCCAGCGAATCACGCACAAATCTCGAAAATTCTTTCAGCCCAGGTACCACTATCTGCTTTTCTCTGAGCTCGTTCTCTTGTGCCACTGCCAGTACCACCCATCAATTTGAGTCCAGATTCACAGTCGTTGGTGTTCAATCGGATACTTTCACCGGGTTTCAAGGCTTCCCCCGGCCCTCGGGCAGCAGGTGGGGGGCCACTGTCAGCCTTGCCACCACCCCCCTTGCCGCCACCACCCCCCTTGCCGTTGTTGCCACGGTCGCCTTTACGACCGCCACCACCTTTGTTGTCATCGCGCCAGTTGCCACCACCACCACCGCCATCGCGCCAGTTGTCATTGCTCCAACCGCCACCGCCGCCCTTCCAACCACCACCATTCCAACCACCTCCGCTCCACCCGGACATGGCACGGGTCCTGTTTTGACGTTGAAAGGAGTCTTCGTTCCAAGCTCCAGAAAAAAACACGTGGCGCAGTCCGGTGGCCGCGGAAGAGTTTGATAAGCGAAAAAAACAAAACTGGACTACAGGGGCATAAACCTGTGAGCCGAAGACATGTGGTCGCAACACCTGTAAGGTATCTCATCAAGCCGAGAATATCTTACCTCTTCAATGCAGCCCTCATCAAACAAAAGAAATATCCGCCGACCCCGGCCTTGGCCAAGGCAGGGGCGGCGCCTGGGACCACCGCAGGTGTGGAACTTCTCCTTCTTAGCTTTCCAAGGCCACTTGCCAGCCCTTAAAAGCCATCGCTTAAACATTCCCTTGGCATGCTTCATCCTGCAGCCAACAGGCACCGCAAGGCGACGCATCAATGTCTTCTTTCCCCTCATGGGCGTCCAAGCCTGCCCTTTGCCACGTCCTGGGGGTCCAAGCCTGCCGTTTGCCATGCTGCATCCTGCAGCCAACCGGCACCCCAAGGCCACACATCAATGGCTTCTTATAGGCGTCCAAGCCTGCCGTTTGCCAGCCCTTAAACGCTTAAAACCTTTAAATGCCAGGCCTTAAACATTCCCTTGGCATGCTTCATCTTGCAGCCAACAGGCACCCCAAGGCCACACCACACATCAATGTCTTCTTATGGGCGTCCAAGCCTGCCGTTTGCCAGCCCTTAAACGCTTAAAAACCTTCCAAACCTCCAAACCCTTAAAACCCTTACAACCCGTCATGGGGGGTCCAAGCCTGCCGTTTGCCAGGCCTTAAACACAAGGGAACCTCGGCATGCTTCATCCTGCAGCCAACAGGCACTCCAAGGCCACACATCAATGTCTTCTTATGGGCGTCCAAGCCTGCCGTTTGCCAGCCCTTAAACGCTTAAAAACCCTAAAGCCCTTAAAACCCTTACAACCCGTCATGGGGGGTCCAAGCCTGCCGTTTGCCAGGCCTTAAACACAAGGGAACCTTGGCATGCTTCATCCTGCAGCCAACAGGCACTCCAAGGCCACACATCAATGTCTTCTTATGGGCGTCCAAGCCTGCCGTTTGCCAGCCCTTAAACGCTTAAAAACCCTCCAAACCCTTAAAACCCTTACCCATGGGGGGTCCAAGCCTGCCGTTTGCCAGGCCTTCAACACAAGGGAACCTTGGCATGCTTCATCCTGCAGCCAACAGGCACTCCAAGGCCACACCACACATCAATGTCTTCTTATGGGCGTCCAAGCCTGCCGTTTGCCAGCCCTTAAACGCTTAAAAACCCTCCAAACCCCAAGGCCACCACAAACGTCTTCTTATGGGCGTCCAAGCCTGCCGTTTGCCAGCCCTTAAACGCTTAAAAACCCTCCAAACGCCAAAAAAACCCTTAAAACCCTTACAACCCGTCATGCGGGGTCCAAGCCTGCCGTTTGCCAGGCCTTAAACACAAGGGAACCTTGGCATGCTTCATCCTGCAGCTAACAGGCACCCCAAGGCCACACATCAATGTCTTCTTATGGGCGTCCAAGCCTGCCGTTTGCCAGCCCTTAAACGCTTAAAAACCCTCCAAACGCTTAAAACCCTTAAAAACCCTTGCAACCCGTCATGGGGGGTCCAAGCCTGCCGTTTGCCAGGCCTTAAACACAAGGGAACCTTGGCATGCTTCATCCTGCAGCCAACAGGCACTCCAAGGCCACACATCAATGTCTTCTTATGGGCGTCCAAGCCTGCCGTTTGCCAGCCCTTAAACGCTTAAAAACCCTCCAAACGCTTAAAACCCTTAAAACCCTTACAACCCGTCATGGGGGGTCCAAGCCTGCCGTTTGCCAGGCCTTAAACACAAGGGAACCTTGGCATGCTTCATCCTGCGGCCAACAGGCACTCCAAGGCCACACATCAATGTCTTCTTATAGGCGTCCAAGCCTGCCGTTTGCCAGCCCTTAAAAGCTTAAAACCCTTAAAAACCCTCCAAACGCTTAAAACCCTTATTACAACCCGTCATGGGGGTCCAAGCCTGCCGTTTGCCAGGCCCGCAAGGCTACACATCAATGGCTTCTTATGGGCGTCGCAGCCTGCCGTTTGCCAGGCCTTAAACATTCCCTTGGCATGCTTCATCTTGCAGCCAACAGGCACCCCAAGGCCACACATCCATGTCTTGTTATGGGCGTCCAAGCCTGCCGTTTGCCAGCCCTTAAACGCTTAAAAACCCTCCAAACGCTTAAAACCCTTAAAACCTTTACAACCCGTCATGGGGGGTCCAAGCCTGCCGTTTGCCAGGCCTTAAACACAAGGGAACCTTGGCATGCTTCATCCTGCAGCCAACAGGCACTCCAAGGCCACACATCAATGTCTTCTTATAGGCGTCCAAGCCTGCCGTTTGCCAGCCTTAACGCTAAAAACCTCAAACGCTTAAAACCCTTAAACCTTACAACCGTCATGGGGGGCCAAGCCCTGCCGGTTTGCTAGGCCTTAAAACACAAGGGAACCTTGGCATGCTTCATCCGCAGCCAACAGGCACCCCAAGGCCACACATCAATGGCTTCTTATGGGCGTCCAAGCCTGCCGTTTGCCAGCCCTTAAACCCCTAAAACCCTTAAAACCCTTAAAACCTTTACAACCCGTAATGGGGGTCCAAGGCCAAATAATTCCTCTTAGGTGTCAAGGTTGCCGTTGCCAGCTTTGCAACAATGCAAACGATACCCAAAGCCAAATCAAATAGCCTTTCTCGGGTTCAAGCTTGCGTTTAACCACTTTTCTCTTTGCAATAACCCGTCTTGAAGAAAACTGCTTCCCACAGACCCTTCGATGATCTATTTGCCCTGTCTTCACGTCACTGGCCACATTTCCTTTGCAAGCGGGGCAAATGTAAACATGCGCTTTCTCCTTCATAACGCCGTCCTTAACAGAAAATTGGTTCCCACAGACCGTTCCATGGTTTATTTGCCCTGTTTTCACGTCATTGGCCACATTTCCTTTGTAAGTGGGGCAAATGGAAACATACGCTTTTTCCGTCACAACGCCGTCCTTGACAGAAAATTGGTTCCCACAGACCGTTCGATGGTTTATTTGCCCTGTCTTCACGTCACTAGCCACATTTCCTTTGCAAGCAGGGCAAATATACACATACCCTTTCGCAACGACCTACGCATCCCACACCTGGAAACGGTTACCACATACGCGTCGGTGATCTACTTGGCCCGTGCGTATACTGCTCCTCACGGACTTTTGACAAGCGAAACAAACATATTGGAAACTCTTGCCCTCCTCCCCTGTTTGTGCTCCATGTTAAAACTTTCAAGGTCCCTTTCACCAACAAGCCACCCAACCATGCATTCAATTCAAATTACTAATTAATTAAAGGTACTGGACAACCAAAATCCAATCTCGAACGCAATATAATACACTGGGAAGGATCGTGGTCAAGGAAACAAATATGTGAAGAGGTACTGTGTCACAATGTTGCTTTGAACCATCGATCGCGTATTGTATACACACGACCCATGGCACTTTAACCCCACATTAAGCATGACCACCTCTAGTAAACCTAACATAATAGCGTTGTGTCCCAAAAAAGGAGGTCGGCGACACCCGGGCGCTAGCCCGTTTTATACGAAAGTTCCCAAAAAAATAGTGAATTTTAGACCTCCGCGCAAGGGGCTCAGGAAGTACAGCCTCAGTTTGTATTCGCACAGACTAAGATATCTTCGTAAAAAGCCCAAAATTGTGGCATATTTTTTAGGAAATTTAGGCTCGGAAACTGCGCGCGCGCGCGCTCTGTATATAACCAAATCGTAATATTAGTAGTAATATATGTATATATAATATATAACATAAATTATATTTTTTTCTATAAATACATATTATATATAAAATAAATATAAATAATTATGTTTTCTAAATTAAATATATAAATAAATACATATAATTTCAAATAACAAATATATATATATATAATAAAATTACATAATTAAATTTAATATTTAATATTTAATAATAATAACAATATCTATATATATATATTAATGAAATAATTATATTCTAGTTGTATTGTATAAATAAGATATTGTTTAAATTATATATATATACACATATTATAAGAAATTTATAATTGAAACATTAATTTGTTTTTATGATGCCAATAAGGGTCGGTTTTGCGTGTAAATTGTATTCCGATTCTATCCGAATTGATATCAATCTTTGGACATCTGCACCTGCCACATGCCGGGATTTAGAAGATGGAAGATGCCAATACCAGCACATGACATATGTTTCTAAGACCAAATATGGTTTCTAAATGTTTCTAATGGGGTAAATCCAAGAATATATTTACTATTTGCGGGTGGTTTATGCCACCCATTTTTGGTCATATTGGGGATAGTTTATTGTTGGGTTTACCACACTGCCTAATTTCGTATTTCCAATGTGAAATCTCGATGCAGGAAGCCTGGCGTGCTAAGCTTTCCCAAGCTTTGAGCAAAACCACCAGGTGAACAGAGAGTTGACCAGCAAACGTTGCAAATCTCCTATCTGATTCATGGCAAGTACTGCAAAAACTGACAGGTCGCAATGACACCGCTCAGCAAAAAGTCACAGCCCCAACAAAAAATGGAAGCTGACTGCAGACCCTTAAAAGTGAACTTTGTTTAGCATCTAGAGACCCTTCCAGTCTGAGAACTACGCTAGCATGTAGATGTGCAAAACTATACACCCCGCCGTTGCTTTCAGCTGTCCAAAAAGTCAGATGTCCCCCAATTCCTGGAAATTTCCATTAGTTTCACTTTTGCAAAATACCCAATCTTGGTTGCTTATACCACGATGGGAATCAAACTTGACAAAGGCAATCTCCACCAAACGTTTGGTGGTACAACCGCTTAGGCACATCGACGCATCATAGAACTATCAACCAACATGTCAACTCGGCGAAATCCATCAAAGTCCCTTATGCCTTTTTGGTCCATCTCCCCTGTTTAGCGGGTCATATAATCCTTCATCTTTAAAAGTAAAATACCAATCTATCCGAATTTTTGGTGGTAAAATCCCGTTTCCAGGTTTCAACCCCCATCAACTGGGCACTGCTCAAGTGGCCTTGGAAACCGGTTTTCTCCTGAAGCATCCTCCA